TTAATTTCATTATTAAAAAAATATTACAAGTAATTAATCATATAAATGATACATTCTGTGTAATTTACTTGCCACATTCATGCAAGACTCACCAGAGGGCGTCTTACTCCAGGTAAGCCTGATGCACATTTTTAAGATTCTTGTGATATAAATACAAAACTGACTGCTTTTCTATTCATTCTATTTTCTATTTATTTATTTCCCATAACTGTGTGTATACACACATCATAATGCATCATCATCCTGCAACTCAGCAGGTGCATATCATGCACAGATGGTTTAGCTTTACAGTGAATGGGCATCGTTTATAAGGGGGGGCTTTTCCCACATTTCCCCACAGAACACCACTCTCCAGCATGTGTATGGGCTGAGGAGTGTACGGACAGACAACATTCCTTCATTCATTTCATTGATTTAGTCATTTGAACATATTCCAGGGCTATTAATTCATCTAAGCATTACATCTTCAGCCGGTTGTCTCAAGACTTTGAGGCGCCTGAGGCCGCGTGGTCTGAGGCCCTCAGAGGAATTTAGCATTCAGAGCCCCCTGGGCGCTGGCCTTACTGCCCTGGTCAGTAAATCATACCTGACTTGTAGTACCATTTTTGTTCTTTTCATCAACCGAGAAACAGATTAGATGTCATTATTCAGATCTGTGAAAATGTATGACTGCACTTTGCCGCCTGTTAAAATCACACACACACAGGCAGTTGCAGGGATGTATCAGCTCGCTGTTCACCACATACATTCCTTGCTCATGATGAAACGTAATGCTGCCTTTATGTGTTCCTTGGAAGCTTTGATTTTGCACTTGCCAGTATGTCATGTGGAGAGAATTCATTTACGATGCTGAAAACTTTAATTGTTTGATCCTTATCCCTACAGCCTGTACACCCACTCAACACCTCTGCTGACATACAGCAGCAGCAGGCTATGGTTTGTCTATTACTCTTTATTAATGAGCCTAATGAAGATCATAGTATGCTTGCACACAAAGCCGGATTGTGTCCATAAGCACTAAAAGTTTATTTGATGCATCAGCTTTATGTCTTCGTACCTTCTTATATAACTTGGCTTGTTCCAGTTTCAGCTGAATGTGCTTAGACATACATACTCTAAGGCCTGCAAGCATATGCCCGCTCACGTTACATGGAATGCAGACACTGGACCAACATTGATATAACCTGCTTTTGCCTGGAAGATTTTCTGTTAATATTAATGTTAACCTGTGAAGGGTCTCCTATAACCAGCAGATGCACTGCCACGACTGTAGATTGCTAACGGAAAGGATGAGATTCAGCTGGAACTTGACATTTAAATCAAGTGTAGCAATACTGACTGTTCCTCCAAAGAAAGATTGAACTCCTTTCTTCCCCACTGAATTAAATAATGGAGGGAATTTGTGGGAGGGAAAAAAAAAAACAATCTTTGAAGCTGTGTGTAGTTTTCCAGCTAGATCTCCTGGCTTTCGAAAGTCATAATCAATACGTAGAACACAGTCACAATGGGGCTGTGATTTGTTTTGGCTTTGTATCTGAGAAATTTCTGCAGTCCAGTAACAAACACAGATGAGTTTAGACCCTGTTCCACCATGGATTGGCGGACTGATAACTGATCCGGCAACAAAGAGCAACCTATGCGCACTGAACGTTTTCTCTGTGTTTATATTAGAAGTGATGTTCTCTTCATCAGTGTATCCAATCAGGACCAGACACATATCAAGAGTTCACTGCATCATCAGCAGTGATGGTTTATATTATATGGATATTAGAAGATCATCAGCTTACGTGGACTTCGCCCAGGTTTGGTGTCTGGAGTACACAGTGTGCTGGAGAGCTTGGAATTTCATTTCCATTTAGGATTCCATTCATTTACTGCTGCAACCTGCTGACACCATGTGGTGGCACAGGTGAATTACAAGTAGAGACAAGTGTAGATCAGGGGTGGGCAACCCAAATGTCAAGAGCTATTTTGTCCTTTTACTAAAAATCAAACCAGCTTGGAAGCCACAACATTTTATGTCCATTTCACCATCTTGGCTGTAAATATGTCTCCGTATATGCTGATGTACTGGTATAGGATAAAAATATAAACGAAAGCACAGACTCAGTTTGCTCTGCTTTAAGCTTTAGCTCAGCTGTAGTCGCTTTTCTCGCGTCTCCGGCAGGAAACTTTTTCACAGAAATGTCTCTCAACGTTCGCTTTTTACGAGGCTGAAATCAGCTTCTCATTCGCCAGCTTCTTGTTCGAATATTTCCGTTCCACCTTAAATGGCGCTAGAATGTAACTGCTGCACCGTTTAAGGTGGAACGGTAATTCAAACAACAAGCTGACTTCAGCTTCGCAACTTTTTAGTGTTTGACAGTTTCTCGTTGCCGTTTTAGGAAACCTTTGAGTGCTTATAAACACAAATAAGTCAGTTTGTCTCCAAATTATCAATGTTCGTCTTAAATCTTTCTCTTTGCCATTTCGTTAGATACCAGCTAGGCGAGATTGTTGTTTACGTTGCTATGGTGACCAGCAGTCTGTGTTCCAACCTTCAGGGTTAAAGGGTGAATTAGCAGTTATAGGCTGCATTAACTCCACTGTTTAAGACCATTTATTGTTAAAACTGTGTTGAACGATCAGCAGAGCTTTGTTTTACTGCTAACGGAGGATTATTTTATTTTTACTTAAAAATCTAATTCTGCAATTAGCAATTCCGCAACAGGGCAGTAAAAGAGATGCATGCGGCTCCAGAGCCATATGTTGCTGACCCCTGGTACAGATAATAGTGGGCTGAACGATATCATCATGATAAGTTCAGTTATGATACTGAGTTTACTGCTGGTAGCAGTATTTCTGGAAAATTGCATGCATCAAAGACAAATTCCCTGCCAAATGTAGAGAGGCTGCAACAACCAGTGCATAGCAAAGTAGCTGACTTATTTTTACCAGTTGATTTTTCCTTCTGTTCTTAGTTTATTTTTAATCAATAGTTTTATTCTTGCAAATGCTAAGTTAAAAAAAAACAAACTTTTGAGATAAAAACAGATGCACTTTGTAATGCAGTGAAACCTTCACATCAAGTCTAATGTGATTTTTTTTTTAAACACTTGCGTTAAGAAGACAAAAGAGGATGGAGAAATTGATTCCATGAGTAGTAAAGAATTTATACTTTTGTTTTTTTAAGAACTGCAACTGCACACGCACACTGGGTAAGACCTCCTTCTACAGTCTAGGATACACCTAGATAAACAAACAAATAAATACATGTGCAAATGGCTATAAACAGTTTCTAAATTGTACCAAGTTACTGTCTGCCATTCAGCTTCAGTTTGCCACATAATTTTTGTAACCTCTGCATTTTCATGGTTTACATGTTGCTTGTCATACGAGCTTTTCTACTCTGCCACACGCAAGATGAGCTGTACAGTACAGACAGCCGAACTGGCTTTAATTTAAAAAAATTTACACACCATCAAAGTCCATCAGTTTCTGATTCTATGGAGGGGGGTGCATTTTTGTCCATAGAAATAGGACTTTGACATAAACATTTACAACCCCATTTCCAAAAAAGTTGGAATGCTGTGCAAAATGCAAATAAAAAAATGCAATGTGCAAATCATTTAACCCCTATATTTAATTAAAAATAACCCCTATATTTAATTAAAAATAACCCCTATATTTAATTAAAAATACAAAGACAACATATCAAATGTTGAAACTGAGAAATTTTATTGTTTTTTGATTTAATTTAATTTTATGCCAACACCACCTTCCAAAAAAGTTGGGCTGGGGGCAACAAAAGGCTGGTAAAGTTGTGTAATGCTAGAAAAAAAAACACCTGGTGGTTAATTGGCAACAGGTCAGTAACATGATTGGGTATAAAAGAGCATCCCAGAGAGGCTGAGTCTTTCAGAAGTAAAGATGAGGAGGGGTTCACCACTCTGTGAAAGACTGCACCATCAAATAGTGCAACAACTCAAGAATAACGTTTCTCAACATGAAACAGCAAAGAACTTGTGCTTTCCATCATCTACAGTACATAATAACATTAAAAGATTCAGGGAATCTGGAGAAATCTCTGTATGCAAGGGACAAGGCTAAAAACCAGTATTTGCTGGCCATGATCTTTGGGCCCTCAGGCTGCACTGCATTAAAAACAGACATGATTCTGTAGTGGAAATCACTGCATGGGCTCAGGAACACTTCTGAAAAACACTGTCTGTGAACACAGTTGGTCACTGCATCCACAAATTAAAGTATATAATGCAAGAAGAAACTGTATATAAACAGGATACAGAAACACCACTGCCTTCTCTGGGCCTGAGCTCATTTAAAATGGACTGAGGTGAAGTGGAAAAGCGTCCTGTGGTCTGACGAATCAACATTTGAAATTCTTTTTGGAAATCATGGTCACTGTGTCCTCTGAGCTAAAGACCACTCAGCTTGTTATCAGTGCACAGTTCAAAAGCCAGTATTCATGATGGTATAGGGGTACATTAGTGCACATGGTATGGGTGACGTGCACATCTGTGAAGGCACCACTGATGCTTAATGATATATACAGGTTTTGGCAACATATGCTTCCATCCAGGCGACGTCTTTTTCAAGGAACGCCTTAATGAAATGATCATTTCAGCAAGACAATGCCAAGCTACATGCTGCATGTACAACAGCATGGCAATAAAATTTCTCAGTTTTAACATTTGATATTTTGTCTATTTTGTAGTATTTTCCTTCAAAAATATTGTTTACATGACTTGCATATCATTGCATTTTATTTTTATTTACATTCTGCACAGCATTCCAACATTTTTGGAAATGGGGTTGTAATTTGCATCCAGTTTTGCTGGTGTACTTTGTTCTAATCTCCGAATCGCATTATAAACTACGCATAATGAAATGTCTTCAAATATCATGATGCCATACTTTTGCCATATCGCCCACTCTCAGCTACAGATATCTGACATGAACACGATAAAATGTCCCACTGATTGAATAAATAGAAGAGACAGTTTAGAGAAACTACAATGATTGTTTTATTGTCTTGAGATGGCATATAAATCAGTGACAAACTCTAAGCCAGTTGAATAGACTTGAGTAGATCAGGGTCCACTCCTCCTTTCCAGTAACATCAGCTTCTCCCATCCCCGTTATCAGGTTTAAAGGGAAATGCATCATTATCAGGAGGAGCAGCGCTTCTGTTCTACTGCAGCTATTCAGCTAACATCTCTGGCATCCTGGACTCACCAGTCAGATCAAAGAGAGCTGCTCAACCCTCTCTCTGATACACGGGAAGGAGCCAGATTACCATTCCACTACTGATTCAAACGAAAAGAATGTTATGCATGGAGTGGAGTAACAATGCACACCTCAGAATTAAGAGGACAACCAACCCTTCAACAAATCTAACACGTCATACAAAAACCAGGCACACGCTTCCCCCTAAAGCTACCGCGGATTACACACCTAATGAAAACCGATTCAGCATTGCTAGCTGTGACTTCATTGTAAAACCTCAAAGCTAACTTAACCTAAGCTTGAAGCATTCTGTAGACCTGAAGAATGCCTAGCTACTTTTTAACCATCCCTGACGTTTATGCAACTACATGAGAAAGTGGACATGATCAGAACATACACAGAAAGGCAATAGGAAAAAAACAAAAAAACAAAAAAAAACAAAACAACCTTTCCTAATTTGAACGATTGCATTCAACTCTGACGCAATTATACAATTAAATATCAAATAAATTAAATACACCCACGTCGAAGATTATTTGGAACATTTTGTTTGGTTTGATTTGATCATGTTTGAGTACCCGAAGGCAGGGGTGTCCAATCTGATCTGCAAAGAGCTCGTGTGGTTGCAGGTTTTCATTCCAAAAACTGAGAAGCTCACATGAACTGTTTGAAGACTGAGACCAAATGACTAAATTGGTACAATCAATTGTGTCCTGATTCAAATGAAAACCTGCAGCCACACCAGCCCTTTGCGTACAAGATTAGACACGCCTGCATTAAGATATGCTGCTTGGATGTAAACACTTGGCTTTGATTGTCAGAGAAAAATGCATTTGATCTGAAATGTCTTGACTTTTCAGAAACAAGATGGACTGTTTATAGCTGGAAAAAGTGCCTAAAAAAGCCATCAATGTTAGAGTTTAAACAAAGGCAATTTAACCGTCACCTGACCAACCCACAAGAAGAGTGGAAAGACAGAATGCCAAAAAGAAGCAAGTGACCAGGAGAGGAAAACAACCAGACATACTATAACATGTAGGACTGACCCTGGCTTTTCTACAGCTTGACTGAAAGTGGATGAAAAAAAAGAAAAAACAAACAAAAAGGTAGCAAGTGAAGCAATGAATGACGTGTTTGCTGTCCGTTTCATTTCCCACCAGGTAAAAGGAAAGATTTTTTTGGTCTGTTGCTCTCAACCCATCGGCTGAACAGGGAGAAGAAATGAACAGCAGAGTGAACACAAAAGATCCCCCCCTCTCATATTCCCTCCAACACACACTTGCACTGTCTGACACCTTCGCACACACATTCACACAAACATTTGCACAATTCCAGTCTTACTAAACCATGTCACACCTTCCACAAGCACACAAGCATGCACACACACACACACGCACACACACTCTCAGAGAGACCACATCCACAGAGTGGGGGCTAAGAAAAAAGAAAATGTGAAGATGAGAGACAGTCCTATCACACTCCTATTGTATTCTACACTGTAGAGGCTGCACCACTATGCCTGGGTGGGCTGTGTCTCAGGGCTGGCGTTGTTGTTGTTGCCCTCCTGTGTATTGGCCACAGCACCGCGGTACGGCACCTCGATGATGCGAGGCTTGTCGATGATGCGGGCGCAGCGGTTGCCCTTCTCCACAATGCCAATGATCCAAGCCTGCTGACCGTCACCCACACCTCCATCCTGGCCCAGTGATGAGCTCCGGCTAGCCTTCATCTCTGCACAGAATCGCGCCGCCTGTTCCCGTGGCAGGCAGATCAGGAGCCCACCTGAAAGACACATAAAAAGGAGACTTAAGCATTTGAAGCATTTCAGTGATTTCTAGTGGCTAGCTGTAGATGTCTTAGCATGGCATCTTGCATAGAGTGACACCTTTTTTTGTTCACTGATACATTTCAATAAAGAAAAATCATGTAGCTTTTCAAATGTATATTTGTTTGAAACGTATTATCAAAACCTAAATAAACCTCACCTATAAACCTATTAACAAACATAAAAGCCTAAACAGTTTACACCTAAACAAATCTTTTACTCCACTGTGCTTGCTTAATGCGACAACTCCAGTGTCTAGACTACTGAAAGCTTTCCCCTTTGTCAAACCTTATGGAAAGCCCTTGATAGCAGCATTTTCAAGGTACCAACAGCAGGGTAGCAATAATAGCCAAGATAGCCATCTAGCTACAACCATTATCTAGAACAGAAGACTTCAATTCTGGATTTCAAATCAAGTGTCCAGTCCTGGTTTTGGTAATCACTGGTAATTAACTAAACTGCTGATAAAACTGGCCACCTAGTGTCAAACCTACCAGTGATTACAAAAGCCAGGACCAAAATCTAGGTTCAAAGTCTGTATTTGAAGACTTGCACCTAGCTAACATCACCTAATGGAAATATGATGTCTGACTTGACAACACTGCCCCAAACATTTTTTTGGTAGAGATACACTTTTGAAAAGGCACTACAGAAACTAATAAATGATCAAAAGAATACATGATCAATACCTGATCATTTTTCTGCAATTTTGTGTGATAAATACTTTTTAAAGTATTTCCACACCTTTTTCAGTTTTAGAACAATTTCTATCTGCCTCCGATTTTCAATTCAGCCACTACTGATTTGTGATAAACACAAAACTGATTTAAAACAGATCTAAACTTCAACTGTTTCAAAATTCATAATTAGAGACATCCTTTTTATAAAAGTCATGTGCTTGTGTGTAATCCATTGCTCTGACCTGATGTCTCTGAGGAGGTCCCTTGCAGCAAGCCGAACAGGTTCCCCCCAGCCTTACTGATCGCAGCCATCTTAGCAATTATGGGCAGGTTGTGGATGACGAAGGCCACGTCATTGCGCTGCTGCTTCGCCAGATTCTGCGCATGCCCAAGGATCCCGAAGCCTGTGACGTCTGTGGCAGCATGTGCGTTGAACTTGTGCATTAGCGCAGCAGCTAAACAGAAACAGTAACCAATAACAGATTTAAATAATTCCACAAGTTTCTCTTCAATCATTTACTAACTCAATAGTTTTTATCTCACATGTGTTCTGAGCAAGCCACAAACTGCTTCAACTATTACTGTGGAAGATAAACATAAAAGAACCTCAGTCTAAAGATGTCTTGAAATATGCAAGCACTGCACACTTAATGTTACCTGAGGGAAAACATCTGATTCAGAAGCTTATTACTAGTCGACTAAAAAGCTGTTTTAAATATTAGAAACACTAAAACGCTCAGTGTGGATGCACCTCAGAACCAACACTGTGAAACTGTGTTCTGCGAAGCCAGAAGCCATAAATTAAACACTCAAAATACCTCAACAAATTTCAATTACCCTGTAAAAAGTGGTGAAAAAGCACACCGGAATAAAATTACAAAATTAAGTTATACTGAAAACATAACCTAAGTGCTCAATGTGAATAATGTCTAGAGAGAGACAAAGAGGCTTTGAGTTGCCATGAAGTGTTTCAGTTCTTCACTTACATTCCACAATCGAGGCATTTTAAGTGATGGACAATAGTGAGTCTGTAGGACTTATTCCTCGAAATGGGAAAATGACTTTGCTGGAAATATTTCGATCTACCACATTACTAACAGTAGTCTTTGCCCTAGTCATGTTTATATATTTATATATAATTAGAGTAAGTCCTCTCTGTTGTATTACCAGTGCGGTTGAGTGTAGCCATGTTGAGCATGGCCTCCTGATAAGCCTGCTCCACTTCCTCCTTCGAGATCACCAACTTGATCTTGTTCCATTTTTCTGGCTGATGGAGAAAAAAAAATAAAGAGAATAAGAGGATAAGAAGAAGCCACAGACACACAGAAGACACAGTGCGCTGCTGTGAAGGTGATGTAGAGCTCTCTTACAATGTCCAGCCACTGATGAGCGTTGACAGCTACTTGGGTTCCGAGAGGTTTGGTGAGAACCAGCACGTCACCTGGTACAGCACCATCTGGCCTGAATACATCACAAAGCACGACGATGGGGGCATTAAGTCAGGAGTGAGAGGAGCAGTGTGCACAAAAATAAGTGGTGTGGAAAGAACAAAAAAAAGAACAGACAGCAGTGAACAGTGATGAACAGATAGAAAGGAGGCATGTAATACACTCACATGATGAAATCATTGGGCTGGCACACCACAGTGGCCACACCACCTACAATGATCCAGGGGTTCATCACAGTCTGGCCGCCTGTCACTGAAGTCCCGCCCTCCTCAGCTGCATCACGGAAGCCCCTCATTATTAAGGGCATCACATGCTCCCTCTCCTGAGATAACAGTGCCACATTCAGATACTGATTAACATTAATAATCATGGAATGTGAGCAAAAAACAGCACTGATGTCATCAGGCCTGGGTTGCACCGACTGTGTGAGAGTTTGTAGTTACCTTTACTCTGGGCTTAACAAGTTAATTTTGAACTATCATTTTACTAAATTCAGTTGCACAACAAATCCTTAAGTCATCTCCTAGTGACAACGCACTAATGCATACATTGGTTTAACATGAGAATAACATTCAGAACCAATTTATAAACCCTCTACCATAGAAATGCAACAGCAATTTGCACCCATTTTTTGAATTCCATAGAAAAAAAACGTTAAAAAAATAATGAGTGATAATTGCAACAACAGAATGTGCAGCTTTTATAAATGATAGTTCAAACAGCAGGGTCAGCCTGCACATCTGGGCAGCTGCTGAGTCTCAGTGTACTGGAGGTATGGATGTTAACTTCTAATGTTATGTTTGGAACTTAAATCTCATTTTATGATTAGAGATGTAGGTAAAATCACAGCACAGCATTTAGTGTTTTAAAGCCATCTTAACCAAAAAACGTGTCTTAACTTGTTTGTCATCTTTATGATATGTGGTTTCCCCAACACTTCGACCACTTAGGGGGTGGTGTAAATATTTTCCCCTACCACTCGCCCTCTGCCTTCTCTTTGGGCGTTCATGTCTAGAGGAAGGGTGTCCTGATTCTTGTTGAGATAGAGGGGTAGGGCGAAGTCTTAGGGCTACACAGCCCTCCAAACAAAGGTTTTTCAGAGTCACACTCCAGAGTGTTATGACAAAAAAAGAAAAACCAGCAAGATAGCAGAACAAGAGACCAAAGAAACCCACGAATGTAAGTATTTTCTCTCATAACAATACAATATCCATTGTACTGTCATAGTTTTTTAACAGTATGCTAACGTCTCGGTAGCTAGCTAGCTAACTTTCCCGTTCCACCTTAAATAGTCCAGCAGGACAGACACCTAAAGCGCCAGAATGTAACTGCTGCTCCATTTCAGATGGAACAGGAAACTCTGAACGAGAAGCTGGCGAATATCTGACTTCAGCTTCATATCACCACAGAATTAGGGGTGGGCGATAATAAATAATTGCCCTCGCCCCTCTTTGAAGGTTATATGATTCCCTAAATGTAACTAAAGCCCAGCAGTGAGGTTGCTGAACTTCACTCTCCTTTGCTGTCCCTGCAGACTGGCAGAGCAGTGCTAGTAGCCTGTTAATGAAGTAATGTTCTTTTTTTATTTGAGGAGATTTCAACCACTACCCCTTGTAATTCAGTTCCAAGGGGCAAGGTGACACTCGAAAACAAGGGGCAGGGGTAAAAATAAGAAATGGGATTGGGCCTTAATAACAAATAAGCCCACTGTAAGAACTAATATGTGTGGAGCAAGTCTGTTACGTTTGGTACTGCGTTAACCTGAACTTAGTAAACATCTGAAATTATTTTTAAAAATAAATAAATAATAAAAAGTTACTAGTATACATTTGAACTTGTACACGGATGTTGCAACTGATGCCATATCTGCCACTGTCCATTGTCCACTGTTAATTAATAAATAATTACAACTTCTATTTCTATAGCGGCTTTAACAAAAACGAGAAAAAACAAAAATAACAAACAATATGACTAAAAAAGGACTAAGTGATCATATTCACTCTATTCATGCTGCCTTTGCTTGAAATGAACACTAAACATGGCCCAGTGCTCATTAGTCATGCAGTGTGATGTAATCTTTTGGATACTTGCATAAAGGTCCACTGAACATACAGAAGAGTGTCATTATGCAAAGAAGAATGGTTTACATAGCAGGAATCACTGAATTACTGCACTACTGTATATGGAAAACAACCCTGGCTGCACAAAAAAAAGGTTAAATGAATAATTCATAGCTCACCTTGTCATTCATTTTCTGGCTGATACTGAGTAGCATCAGCATGTTATCGCACTCAGTGATGCCCATGGCGTACAGATCACTCAGCACATTCGCACAGGCAATTCGACCCTGACACCAAGTGGGGAACAATATGTTTTATTAGTGCTAGTATATGAAAATATATAAAATGTTTAGAGCAATAACAAATAGTGAATCATTAACAAGCACTCAGACAATAGACAGTTGGGGAACTAATGAGTACAATTCAGTAATCTTTAAACTTTCCAACGTGACCGAGCCAGAGAGGAAATACTTACCATCATATATGGATCTTCAACTAAAGGATAGAAAAAATCTGTGGTCTGGATCAGGGACAGACCTCCATGTCTTAAAGGGATGACACAAGAATCCATCCCAATACCTGCAATATAGATGGGGGACATTCAGATATTTTTGGACATTCAAACTCCTGTTTATTCACATTTTAGCTCTCTTTCTAAATGAGCAGAAGAAAAAAAGTTTGCTTAACGAACAGAATATAATAAGTGTTGCTTGCATCATGCAGGTTAGTTGTCCAGCCAAGACCATTTGTGACTTATTAACAGAATCGGTGCACAGTCCACTGATACAGGATCACACTAGCCAGTAATAATTCTTGATTACAAAACTCCAAAGTTATGGTGTTGTTATGCAAATACTTTACACAAGCCCTTTTCTTCTCTTGTAAAGGATTTATCAAAGCTGTATAATGTTCACTGCAATATTTTATGAAAACCCAGTTTCTTGACCCTTGGAGATAAATTTTTCATGGTACCAAATGTCACATTACAACTGATAACAGGTCAGTTCAGGTCATGCAGGTTAATTGTCTAGCCAAGAGTGTTCATGATTTATTAACAGAAATCGGTCCACAGTTCAGTGATACAGGATCACACCAGCCAGAAATAATTCCTGATTACAAAACTCAACCGTTATGGTGTTGGTGTCATGAAAATACTTTGCACAACCCATTTTCTTATCTTATGAGGGATTTAACATAACTGTATACTGTTAACTTTAATATTTTATGTAAACCCAGTTTCTTAAACCTTTCTAGAATGAGGATACTAGAATCATTACGGTATTGGCAAATATTTGCTTCTGCATGCTTTAAAAAGTAAACATGGCACAAAAGATAGATTTGAGTGATATTTCAAACTGATTTGTGATGAAGTACTTAGGTGTTGAACTCCTGAGGAACACAATGTTTAGGTGACGCTGGGTTACTGTGCTAAAATGACTCACTCTTAAAAAAAAGATGGTTATTTAAAGGTTCATTAGTAAAGTATATTGTTATGGTGTCAAACTCATAGCAATAGAAGAACCCTTTTGGTGCTAAAAAGGTTCTGTATAGAACCATATTACAAAACATTCTCCATCCATCTAAAGAGAACCATTTCATCATGCAAACAATCATTTAAGTATGAAATGGTTCTATATAGAACTCATTTTCTTTAGTAAGGAACCCTTGAAGAACCATTTTAAGAGTATGTTTTATTCATTTTGCCGCATTTAAAACTCTCTACAAATCGGTTACATTTCTCTGAAACACTAATGCAGGTGGATCTATAACCACCTACGTTTTATACGTGTTTATGTCCTGAAATCGGCAGATAAGCATGTAATATATCGCGTAAAATACCGCATGTCGGCATCGACACAGTTCCCATATGGGTGCATAGCTACATTTAGAGATGTAGCTCATTCAGCACCACAGACAGACAATGCATGTTTGTAACTGTCTACAAAGACACTGCAGCCGCTAACACCATCACTAACACCATCACCTAGAACAGTCCTCCCCCATCTAGATGTACGTTAACCTGACTAAACCAGCTGCCAGTTTAGTAGTTCCTTTGTTTTTATTAACGTATGTGGATCTGCATGTTTCCCTCCGTCTCAGTGTATAAACTTACATCATCGTGTACGTAACAACATAAAAACTGCATTTACAGGCACGTGCGGTTACTACGGTTAGCCAGCTGGCTAGCATCGTTAGCGAGCCGCGTTAGCAGCACCGCAGCCTTAGCCTACCTAACCGGGGGCCGTGTGAAACCGGACCGAGGTGGCCGAACTCGGAGGTCTCTTCCCCGCCTTCTCCTGTCCTCCCATCCTGTCCGGCCTGACGGTCGGACTCAAGTCCCTGCAGGAGTTTGAGCAGAGTCTCCTGCGGGACTTTACAGCCTCATCCCTTCATGTCGGAGAAGGCCGTGAGGCGAAAGGGGCGCTCCAGGCCGTGCTCCTCCGGGTGAAGGGCCTGGTAGCCGGGCGGGTAAAAGGCCGCATATCCTCCCGCCCCGCACGACTCCATCGGCGGGGTTGGCGGATCCAAACCAGACATGACGCTAATAGACTTATTCGCTCCTCATTCAGACGGGACCGGAGCAGGTGTTACGTCCCAAGCTGCCGAATAGGGGAGTGTTTAGTGCTGCAGCTACGGTTTTGACTTGGGTGACTAAAAGCGCGGGCTACACCATTTCACTCTGGAGACAGGTGGTTTCGTACACTGGCCTGAACAGCTTTACAGATAATTGGTCTTTAATAATGAAGTCGTTTATGGTCTGATTGTTGCATTGTGACTACACAAAGTATCAGCAAGCGTGACAAAATGGATTGAGACTGAAGTGACTTCAATGTGATAGGTTTTTGTGAAACCCACCGATTTCAAATGGTATGGTCCGCCCGCTGTCTCCAAGCAGTAGACCGTTGTAGTCGAGCGTCATTCTGTAGTCCTCGTTATGCCCATATTAGAAACTCCGGGATTTCATAAAATCGCCTCTGTCCCACCCTGTGTTAAATAAAAATGTTCAGAACCCGATACGTTTTGTTCTGTGTACATTGTTCTCCCGAATACCACTGGATCCTCCTAATTACGAGGTCGTCAAGAGCTATAATACTAATATTGCTACAAGCGAGCTAAAGCTACTGCGCATCAATTTGATGTCACTAAGCTACACGAAACTAAGGCGGGCTGTGCCGCTGCTCTGACGAGCTGCGCTACCTTATCGAAATCTTCTACCGTAGAGCATAATTACAGGTATACCCGTAAATAAAACCTCTAGGTGGGACATTTTGATAGGCTAAAACTCCTCATCAGAAATACTACCCGTGTTAAAACTACGAGGCTGAATTTAGCTTCTTTTTTCGCAGCTTCTTGTTTGAATGTTCCCGTTCCACCTTAAATGGTGCAGCAGCTATGACTAGCTAAAAAAAATAACATAAGCAAAAAGACAAAATACTGACCTGTCGGTTCTGTGAAACAGCAAAAATAAGTTAATGTTACTCTGTTAAGCGAAAACAGGGAAAACTCCTTATATCATGCCTTTCAACCCTCCATGAAGCTGAAGTCAGTTTCTTTTTCGCCGGTTGCTTGTTAGAATTTTCCCGTTCCACCTTAAATGGCGCAGCAGTTCAGAACGTGACTTCTGCGCCGCTTAAGGTGGAACGGAAAAAGTCGAACAAAAAGCTGGTGAATGTCCAGAGAAAATGTCCTCAGTAAAATGTTACCAGCATTAAAATAATAATTAAGATATTCTGGCAGCCGAAATCAGTTTATCAGCAGGTGATAACCTGCTTAAGGAGGCTGCCAGTCTAATGACGTGGATTCAGTGCGCAGTAGCTTTAGCTTAGCAATATTCATATTTCAACTCTTTAACGACCTCGTAATTCAGAGGATCCAGTGGTATTCGAGAGAAGAATGTTCACAGGACAAAACGTATCGGGTTTTGAACATTTTTTCAACACAGGGGGCGCTAGAGCCGATTTTTCGCAAACCCTATTCATTCTGGCCATAGAGAAATGGAGCTCAGACCCGGAGTTCCTAATATGGGCATAAAAGCATGGCGCCGACTACAAAATGACGACACGTCTACAGTGGTCTATATTAGACCGCTGTAGTCTAGTGTCATTCTGTAGTCCGCGTTATGCCCATATTAGGAACTCCGGGTCAGTGCTTGACGTCTCTATAGCCACAATGAACGGGGTATTCAAAAAATCGCCTATATTGCACCCTGTGGTAAATAAACAGTGGTGGACGAAGTACACAAATCATGTACTCGAGTTAAAGTAGAGATACCCAAGGTAAAATATGACTCGAGTAAAAGTAGAAGTTCCTCCCTTTAGACCTCCACTTGAGTAAAAGTACAAAAGTATTTGCCTTCAAATGTACTTAAGTATCGAAAGTAAAAGTACCAAAAGATTAATTAACTTAAATGCAACTTAGTTACAAGTTTAATACAAACTTGCTTTAAACACAGGTTCACAAATGTGTTTTCCTTTACTATATTGCATCTGTAGGTCTCTGTTCATGAACATCAACTAGCCAAAACAAATTTACTATAAAATGAAAGTGTTTGTATAAATACAGAAAGGACAATGCCAGTCAAAACTGCATATGTGTACATATTTCTATATTGTGGTCTATTTACACAAAGTTAGGTTAGAGTCAGGAGTTTCTTCCATCATTTCTGTTGGAATAGACACTCTCAAAATTTTACACTGCTGCACTGGCATTGAACCGTATGCTTACACTGGGTCGGTATGTCCAACAGGTCAAAACAACCTCAAAACAAAGTGCGCGCTGTGCCCTGATTGGTGTTCTTGCTTCGCGCTTCTTTTGTTTTGATGTTACGTTTTTATACACACAAAAGCAAAAAGGAATGACTTTGCATAATGCTTTGCATTGATGATTTTGCATAATATGTATTGGAGTAAAAAGTAAGATATTTGACTGAAATGTAGTGGAGTGAAAGTAAAAAGTCACCCAAAGTGGAAATACTTCAGTAAAGTACAGATACACAAAAAACTACTTTAGTACAGTAACGAATTACATTTACTTCGTTACTGTCCACATTTTGTCATGTGTACATTTTTCTCCAGACTATCACTGGATCTCTGAATTACGAGGTAGTTAAAGAGTCTTAATAATAATTTTGCTACCTGCAAGCTAAAGCTACTGCGCATCAATTTGATGTCACTAAGCTACAGGAAAGGCCTCTGGTTAGGCGGACTGTGAATATGTTCTGTTTAAGTGTAGCAGATTATCAAAATATCCCACCGTACCGCAAATTTATAGGTATGCCTACTTATATTTATAGGTATACTACCTCTAGGTAGTTTATTTCAATAGCCTAAAACTCCTTATTAAAACGCTACCAGTGTTGGGGCTGAATTTAGCTTCTTTTTACTTAGCGTCTGGTTTTCCTGATCTACCTTAAATGGCAGCAGTTGTGATTAGCTGTTGAAAACAATACTGACCTGTTGGTTCTGTGAAACAGCAGAAATAAGTAAAAAGTTAGCTACTTACTTGTCAAGCAGAAACAGTGCAACCTGCACATATCATTCATTTCAACTCTATAAAGCTGAATCTAATCAGCTGCTTGTTCAAATTTTTTGCTGTACCATTTAAGCTGTAACGGGAAAAGTTCAACAAGAAGCTGTCGAATGTCCTGAGAAAATGTTATCAGCATTAAAATAATAATTAGGATAATTTTCATCTGCCCTCAGCCTGTGCATGGAAATACACTACCACACTGGCAAAGCATGCTGGTTTGCTCGGTTTTAAGGAAGCTGCCAGTCTAGTGACATCAATTCAGTGCGCAGTAGCATTAGCTTACATGTAACAACATGCATATTTCAACTATATTAATGACATCGTATGTCCTCGTAGGACAAAACGTATCAGCTTTGGGACATTTTTGATTATAACAGGATGCAAAAGAGGCAGTTTTCAAAAACTCCATTCATTCTTCTCAAAGAAGATTATATGAGCACAAGATCATGGCTTCCACTACAAAATGACATCTGAAATGTCGCTTTTGGATTTATTTGGAACTGGGACCAAAGAAAATTAAAAATAAATAAATAAAATAATAACAACAATACAAATAAACTCAGTCAAGGTAAAAATGTTTATTTTATTCAATGAATTTCATTGATATGCAGACATTTCAAACACCAGAATGTGACCACACATTATCAGCACCGTAGCAAATCTAATAATAGCCGTAACACTGGCCATCAGGCTTGAGCAAACTGCTCACTGCACTGTGAGTACTCCGTTCAATTAGAAGTACTGGCAATATAAACCTGTAAAGAAGTACAGCACATGTTGCTTCTCTGTCTATTTAGCACTTGAGGTTCTTATGCCTGAATTGAGCTTTTAGTGCTGTAGGCCAGGTAGTACAAAATAATGCCAATGACAGCAGCCAAGACCTCAGTGGACACCCAAGGACCACTCCATGCACCCTAAAATAGACAATGAACAAGTTAGGGCTGGGCACAGATGCTGTTGGTAGAATCGCAATAGAAGCACACCAGGACTTTATTGGTGCTTAGTACAGGTACTCACCCTGTGATCTACGTTAACAGTAAACAGGGGTTTAATGGCTTCAACATCTTCATTATTTCTTTGTGCCTGAAAGACCACAATGTTTACCATTAGAACCATTTAATAAAAATGTCAAACAGTTGTTTTTTCAGCACATTGAGAATCTTTTACATAACGTTACACAAGAACACACCTTGCGCAGGGCGCTGTAGGACTCCTCATCAAAGAACTTCACTTGATATGTGCCAGAGCTGGCCTGTTTGTGGGCAATGCTCCAGGAAACCTAAGGAACATACACAACGGTTAATTACATGTGGCCATACACAAAGACCTTGAATGAGGTTCACATGAAAAACGAACCTGATATTTTCCAACATCCTGGCCTCTGGTCACAGGAAACTGCTTGCCATTGACATCTGCATAAAGGGCAACGCTCTGGTTGTGGATAAAAGAGAAAGAAGGGTTCCAGCAAAGTCTGATTAGATTATAAACTTCATCACTCGTAACCCGTTAACTTTTCTAGTGTGTCTTTCACTGTTATGTTTTCCTTTTACTTTAAAGGCATCAGACAGATGTTTAGATTGGACTGATATCTCAAACTAATATCTGATGATGTATTTATATCAGAATCTTTACTACTGCACTAAAATGTCTGAATATATTTGTCTGTCTCAATGGCTAATCCAGGTCTATGTTGTCCCAAATTCAACATTTTAGAAAAAGGTATGTATCGGCAGATATGTACATAAATACTGGCCCATATTGGCCAATATTAGTTGTCAGTTTTGTAATGTTACGGTTATCCCTAGATTATTAATCTAGGAAGCAAGCGGACAGCGTTTCCAACTCAGGATGTGTGCCCTGGGGGTGTTTATACCCATGCGGGATGGAGGTGTTTCCAATCCCAAGGCAGCTACAGGTCATTTGCTTGAGCAAAAGAGAAATGAGATGATGAAACATGCTAAAAGAAAGCCTCCCCTCCTCATAAGGAGGAGTTTCTTCTTCCAGTGACAGGCAAGACAGCCCTGATCAAGCTGGTTTTGATGGTAAGGAAGATTTATGAGGATTGATTGAGGTGGAGTCGACAGTGAGCTGGCCAAAGAGTCAGAAAGTTTAACACCTTATGAGAGGCCACACATATTGTCCCGGCAACCAAGTAGGGAGTAAACTGACAGAGCATGTCATACTGCTTGCTGCCTTCAAGGCAAAACAGGCCATTAGAAGTATAAACATAAGTTTGATGCAAACTTTTAAATAAGCCTGAACAGTCCTGTCTAATAGTGACTGGGACTGTCTCACTGGCAAACTTCAGGGTCCAGTTTCGGACACAGCTGAAGCTGTGTTTAGAAAGCCCCAAGTAGCACTGACCTCTGGCCTGTACTGGGGTTTGTGCAAGTTTTTTCAGTTGTCATGGTGGAATTAGGTTTCATCAATCAGGTCATGGGGCAAGCTATCAGTTCTTTTTTTATGACTTTATTGTCTGATTCTATAATGAGATTATTACAAAGTTACATATTTGATTGAATTTACATAATTGATTGAATGAATCAGCTGTTTCCTGTATATGTGTGGTGAAGGGGGGGGGGCGGTTAAAGCTAGTGAACCGTCCTTATATTGGGAGTTCAAGACGAGCTCATTACAAAGCTGCTAAGTTGATGTTAATGCCAGTTTGGGAAGATTAACATGAGCTCACAGTGTAGATCTGACACAAATACTAGTTTCACCATAACTAGTCTGGTTCAGATCTGTAAAACAGACTGTTGGTCTTTGGATCAGAATAAAAGGGAGAAAATATTGTTTTAGAAAGCAGAAAATAACAGTGCCTCACTTAGTTAAAGGTGTTATGCAACAATACATTTACATGAACTGAGATGAGTAATAATTAAACTTGTTTCTGCCACTTTACAGTCCTCGCTGGGTTCAGGAGGTGTAGGCAGACCAAGGGAGGCACTGGTACAGGGAGGATACTGGTTATGTGGAAGCACTGTTTTTGGTGAACTTCTTGCTGAAGTTTACTGCCGATGCTTATTGATCTGTGCCTGAGCCAGCCTATATAAACACGGCCATTTTCTAGGTTGAGCAGGTCAGCTTGGCGTCAGTGGATCATGCGCACAATGAAGAAAGAAAGATCAATGTTACAGATGCAAGGCTGGCCTGCTGGTCCTAATGAGAAAGAGGGGTCTAAAACCTGCAACCTGTAAGAGCAGCTATTCTTTGCTATTTTAGCCAGTGCTTTTATGACTTCTCAAAATATCTCTCTCAAATATCTGTGTAGTTGTTCAAGAACAAATCAAAGCCAGTTCTTGCTTGTGAAGGTATTTCCATGCTGATAAAAACACCACTCACTTGCAAACACCAGTCAAAAAGTGATGTGTACAGGTTCACTGTGAATCTTTGTCCTGCTTACCTGGGCTCCATTTCCACAGGCCAGGCTCAGCTCAACAATGAAGACCGTCTCAGAGGAGATGACCGCATCAGCTGTTGTGTATGATGAGGTGGAGATGACCGGGTCTGTGCAGGTCTCAGCTGAGGAAACACACACGGATATACAAATTCATCCAAGCCAGTATCTCACTCCCAGCTATGGGAGACCCCAACCATTCACTTTACTAAAGAGCTCTTGAAGAATCATCTGTTTTAACCTCTTCAACTCCTTGAGACCACCGGTGGTTCCAAAAGGCACTATTTCATAAGCTACTTTCAAAAGGTGGGGGTCATATGAGAGCTGTAACTGTCTTCTTTCCAGTCAAATAGATGGGTAATGTAATTTTAAACCCTTATAATAAAAGCTCATCATGAATTTTTTTTGTCTACTGAAAGTCGACCCATTTTTCCACAAATCTGGGCTATAAACTATAAACAGATGGCGTCTCTTCAGTGATCTGATCTGTAAAAATTATTTTTATAAAAAATACAAAGAGCGTCTGAGATTTTTGGCTTTCAGCAGTAAATTGTAAGCATTTGGTCATGTGAATTGAGATGGAAAAACCAAAACATACCCTGGAGAATAAGAGACACAGAGACATATTTGCTTGTAGTTGGCAACAACACTGAATCAGAGCAAGTCAGTCAGAGACTGATGATACCATTAAAACCAAGTTTAAAATGTACATGTTAAACTGGCAGCAGGCTAAACATATTTTAAATATTTAAAAAGAAAAACTGATATAGTTAAATAGTTAACTACACTCTTTTCTGCCAGCCTTAACAACCCTAGTTAGCTACTAAGTTAGCTGAGTTAGTTTAAAGAGTTCAGCTGCGCTGCTAACTAACCTACAGTATCGCCCAATGACCAGAAACCAAAAAGGCAGCATAAATAAAAACAACCTACCAGCACAGAGACTCAGACAAAGAGCCAAAACTGCTCCAATTACGCGTATCATTTTGTCTTCACCTGGTCGAGCTAACCTGAAGCAAACTCAGCTTTCTAAGAGGAAGACCCATCACCGCCCAACCACTGAAATACAGACAGACACGTCATTGCTTTGCACAGTTGGTGGCGGAGGTTTGGAGTGATGCCTCAAGTGACAGCCGCCGGTATTACAGCTGCAATTAAGAACAGGCATCATACACACCGACCAGCCATAACATTAAAACCACCCCCTTTTTTCTACACTCATTGTCAATATTATCGGCTCAACCTAACACAAAGGTGCACTTTGTAGTTCTACAATTACAGACTGAAGTCCACCTGTTTTTCTGCGTAGTTTGTTAGCCCCCTTTACTCTGTTGTTCAATGGCCAAGGCCCCCCTTGGGACCACCACAGAGTAGGTACTATTTGGGTGGTGAATCATTCTCAGTACTGCAGTAACACTGATGTGGTGGTGGGTTAGTGTGAGTTGGGCTGGTATGAGTGGATCAGACACAGCAGTGCTGCTGGAGTGTTTAAACACTGTCCAGTCACCTCTTCCGGCGCCTTACCTTACTGTTTCTTTTTCGGTATGCTTAGATTGCTGATTTAACGATTGATCTATCTATCTATCTATCTATCTATCTATCTATCTACTCTATTAGACACTGCTACCTTGTTGGTCCACCTTACAGATGTAAAGTCAGAGACAGTAGCTCACCTGCTGCTGCACAGTTTGCATTAGTCATCCTCTAGTTCTTCACCAGTGGTCACTGGACACTGTTGGCTGGACATTTTTGGTTGGTGGACTATTCTCAGTCCAGCAGTGAAACTGAGGCGTTTAAAAACTCCAGCAGCACTGCTGTGTCTGATCCACTCGTACCAGGGCAACACACACTAAAACACTAAAAGGTGGCTAACAGAGTATACAGAGAAACAGAAGGACTACAGTCTGTTACTGTAGAACTACAAAGTGCTCTTTTATGGTAAGCAGAGCTGATGAAATGGCGTAGAAACAAGGAGGTGGTTTTAATGTTATGGCTGATCAATCATCAGTTTATCCAAAAGTATCCAGAAACCCCATTTGACTGGTGAATTCAGGACAAAGGTGCTTCCTTTGCTGACACAAGCATTTAAATATACACACTCAGCTTATCCTTCAATGAAATGTCCTGCCAACTGAAAGGGGCATTTTGGGTCACCATGCCCACCGACACGTCAGCTGAATGGGTATAAAGCCCACCCAGGATTGGGCTGTGGGACAGTGGAACTGCTTTCTTTTGAGTGATTAAGCTTTGGGATGAGTTGAGTGGCGGGCATTTGTGATCCAGAACGAATCATCCAACATCATTACCTCACCAATGCTCTTGTGGTTGAATGCAACCAAATCCTCACAGGAATGTTTAAACATCTACTGTAAGGCCTTCTCAGAAGAGTAGAGGATGTTACTGCAGCAAAGGGGGGGACATACTCATAATTAATACCCTTAATTTCAAAAGAAACATTGGATGAGCAGGTGTCTACAAAATTTGATACAGGATCGGTTTCCCAGACAAAGATTAAGCCTAGTCCTGGATTACACAGCATTCTGAATGGAGATTCTCCACTGAAAGGGAAATACAGAAAGGGCTAGGCTTAATCCAGGAAACCAACCCATAGCGTTACTTGATTCGCTGTGTCGGGTAAAGCTTGGTTACTCTTCAAATGAGTTCTTAAGCAATTTCGATATACATGTTTTCCTTTAATTCTTTAAATCTCTCCATAACAATAGTCTGTACAAAGCTTCTTTTGTCAACACATTCAGGCAAGATAATAGACAATATTAACACGGACAAGCATGAATCCTAAAAGAACCCATACATCCAGAGACAAATACCACATTTATAAAGGGAACATTGTCACTGATAGACGTATGCTGTACAGCAGAAACACACATTCACATGTGCAGTACTTTATGCTGTCACAGAGAGGCAGTAAAGATCATCTTTTCTAACATGAAACTAATATATGTTAAACTGAACACTGAATAGTTCTATTTCCCAAAAAATTAAAATGTCCATCCAATATGATATCTGTCTTCTTTGTCAAGACCACCGCTGCAAAGTTCGGAGGCCACATTGATCTCTTCACCCACTCTTGTTCTTGTTTGCATTTTGTTGTTAGTTCACTTGTTTTTCTTTTGATTGTTTGAGTCAAGTCAGTTGTTGTGATTGCATACCACCCCCTAAATGCACTCCTGACACTGCTTTCCTGAGCCACTCTCACTGGATACAGTCCATTACGTGAATCTGCAAGGTATCCATGTCTGGAGCACGGTACTGACACTTCGGGCAACGGAAATCTGGCTGCACATCAGGGGGATTCCGGTTTGGAGCAGGCATCACTGGCCCTGGAAACGATGTTGCCAAGTGAGAGAAAAAAAAGTGTTAAGAGTCCAGAAACAGACAGAAAGCATGAGCTAAAAATGGGTTGTGGGGAAAAAAAAAATCTAACCAAGATAAACAGATTACTAAGCACAGAAAACAATGTGCACACATACTTTGATTACCAGCTGGGATAACATAGTAGTAAACTGTTAATTGTTATCACAATATCAGTCTTAGCAATAAGAATATTGTGACACAGAGCAGCAAAATTTGGCCAATCACAAAATTACTTATTGAGTTCTGTGAGGATTATGACCAACAGCAGACAGTCAAATGTTTCTATGTGTATTTCAACAGATAAAGATGTCATTTTATCATGAGTAGTAATATTTGTTGTGAGTAATTATATCACCATATACTTTTCTGAGCATATTGTGGATGTCATTGTTACTTAAACAACACTAACCAACTGCATTTTTCATTATAAAGAGAGCATAATTAGTCTCATTTAATTGGATTCTGCACAGTGAAGTAGAGATGGACTGATCAGTGGTGTTGGGGACAATACCAATCGCCTTTCAGTACAATCAGCTGATAGTTAATATCAAATCGGGCAACACTTTTTTTTTCTTTTTCTTTTGATCTCCTTGACAATTAAGCTCTTCATAAATGTCATATGGACAAACGCCCTGAAATAACATTAGAGCGAACAACAAAACAGCAAGTAATGTAATTACTTGTAACTACTAATGTTAGCTAGCTAGGTTGTGTATTTTGCAACCTGTCACAGCAACTGCGACTGCAAAGCTAACCACACACATTAGCAAACAGCACAAAACAAAACTGACCTATTGGTTCGGTGAAACAGAGAAAATAAGCTGATGTTACCGACCTGTTAAGCAGAACCAGAGCAATTTTTTTGTTTTTTTTTTTTTTTAGGAAATTTGCCGTTTCACCTTAAATAGTGCAGCAGTAACATTCTGGTGCCTTACACTAGCATAACCATCAACCAGCAACCAGCGCAGCTAACAGGACACAACAGTCCTCCTGCTTCATGGAAGGGTTTTTAAATGTACTGAAAAAGCTAAAAGGGCTGACATACGATCACTTTTGCAGTTTTGTAGTGCAATTTATTTTATTTTCAGGCCCTGCCAAAGCTGTAGGTCATGAAGCTAGTGCAGTGTAAGCTAAGCCAAGATTAGCACTTGGACGCTAACGTGCTAATAGAAACAAATCCTCAAAGTTTTGAGGGCAAACCACATTAATTACAGCTCTACAGGTTCACACAGCGAGTTTACAGTGAAATAGGAGCCAAATATGTAATATAGTTCAGAAAAAATGGTTTTCATTAGTGAAATAGATATGATGAGGCTAAAGTTCGCTTCCTACTCGCAGGCTTCTTGTTACAATTTTTCCATTCCACCTTAAAACTTGTAGAGCTGTAATTAATGTGGTTTTCCCTCAAAGCTTTGAGGATTTGTTTTTGTTAGCACGTTAGCATCCAAGTGCTAATCTTGGCTTAGCTTACACTGCACTAGCTTCATGACCTACAGCTTTAACAGTGACTGAAAATGAAAATGAGCACTGAGTTAATTATTCATTGTAATCTACTGTACTGCACTTATTGAAATGTATTGTATTGTATTGTATTGCACTGCGCTGTGTTTAACTCTGTTAACTCAAGTACTTTTTGTTTCTAGCAGTCTCTGAGCTCAGGACTGGCTTTCTCTCTGACCTATTGGTAACTAGCAAAGATACTTTCTCTAGATAGACAAAGCACTTTTTGTAAGTCGCTCTGGATAAGAGCGTCTGCTAAATGCTGTAAATGTAAGTGGTGCAGCAGTTACATTCTGGCATGTTTTTCGTCACTGATCAGCTCTCAGGAATGGCTAAGTTAAAGAAATATCAGCTGATTGCATATTTAGGCTGAAAACCGGCTGATACCAATTCATAGCCAATTATTCCTTCTATCTCTACAGTGATGTATAGGAAACGTTGGAATAAAGTCATGCCATTCACAGTTTTTGACAGTATATTTTGAAATGTGTCTTTTGTGTGGTCCAATTTTTCAAAATACAAAAACTAAAGATGGTGATACTTATTGTGTATAATGAAAATGTTTTGAAGTGTTGTGATTTTATATTTTTGCCTAAACTAATAGCAATAGGTTTTTAATATAACAAGGTGTCTCGTAATAGTCTGTATTGTTCAGTCTTATTACAAGCAAATCTGGGCTGTGTGGAGAGAGCTGACATGAGAGACAGTGTATATACCAGGAGGTGCCATGTGGGTAAGAGGTCTGTAGTCATCCTTGTGTCTCTGCTGCATGTTCTCCTGCTTGAGTAGATTGATTTCAGCCATTGCCCGATTCAGCTTTTCCTGAAGCTCTTCTTTCTTTTGGTTGAGCTTCTCTCGTGCCTCTCTCTCAGCTTGGAAGTCCATCTTGTAGATATCCGCCTGAAAAAGAGGACATGTACAGAGGCAGTGTGAAGAAACAGATGTACTGTGGACCACCTCATGAATGTCCCAATTAAAATTAAAAATTTTTTTGAGTGTATGGACAGCTATGAATGAAGGTTCTACATTACTAAAATGAGCTAGTTTAAGGTCTAGGAAGTAGTATTTTGCTGTTTTGTCCACCATATCTGGCCACAGGCCACAATGGCAGAATAATTTTAGTTCACTTACCACCACAACTCTAAATAAACAATATATATTTTGAGTATTACACACAGCGAGTGTCTAAAGCTGCTGTCACACTGAACGCAAGTAAAATTTGACTGAAGAAAAAACAACTCACTTGAAATGGAAAGAATGTGGGAACACAACAAAAGAATTTGCCTCTGGTAGTGCTTAATTTTGCTAGGCACAGAGTTCATTTAGGTGTAACCCTGTAAATCTGCATACCTTGTAATACCCCTATAAAACCAGGGGTTGTGTCATTTCATCTTTTGCCTGGAAAAACTAAACTGAGGAACTGCTCCTCAAGAAACATAATGTCACAAAAAATTGGATTAACTAGCTACCGTTAGTTGCTCAAAAAGCTTTACGTTCTCACCAAATATACATCACATCAGGACTGTCCACTTACTCTGATTTGTGTCCATCCCGGCAAAGAAAATAGCAATGTGACAGTCCAGCGTGACTGCAGCACTTTGGGGAGACCATACCAAACAACATCTTTTGATAGCATGGTCTCACTAAGAAGCATTTTGCCAGGTGTAGAGCGTTTCATGTATTTCAAAGATATGTCAGTCGCTGTTGGTCTCATTCTTCAGCTGTCATGTAATGATATATAAAAATAACCACTGGGGTGCTGACCTGCGCTGTAAGCACTTGTACAGTCTCCTGTAAGGACCTCTGTTGCTCTAGTTCCTCCTTGAGTTTGTCAATGTGTGCCTGTTTCAAGGCCAGAGCTTTTTCAGCATCCTCCAGTCTGTTAGTAAGAGTCTCTGTTTCACCACCCTGCAAAACAAACAAAACACACATACACACAAAGAAACATGACTCACTTCACTCCGATATCCAGGACTCAGAGCATTTCAACTGACCCGTAATCTCTCCAACCACAAATCATTTAGAGTTAACATATGTGCTTTATGAAATAAGGACACTGGCAATTTTACCAAAAAAAAAAAGAAATAACAACACACCCTGTGGTTAGCTTGCTTTTCCATTTTCAGCTTGTTGTCATAATCCTGGAACAGACAGGTGTATGCATGCTGAAGCTGGGCTAGCTTCCTCCTGGGAGAGAGGAAAACAGACATTACCAGACTGCGGAAGCATTTGTGTTCAGAGAAGGGCTGCAATTAACAATTACTGCTAAAAATGATTAATCTATCCACTGCTAATCGACTAATACATTCATGATGCCTTCTGCAGTTTCCTTTGACTTTGCACTTGTTGCTGGGCCCACTACATGCAACGTTCTGTGATTGCAAGTGATTTCTTCTTTTATTTTGCAACCAAACGACCATTTTGCCCCACTTCCTGTAGTGTAGTAAAAACTGCGGGAATGATGATATGTATCATATACGGATGTAAATGATTAAATAACAGTTAAATACACAAATAAATAACTGTTTGACCAATACTATCGGTCTAAAAAAAAAACAATAATATAATTTTAAACAATTGTACGCATGATGGCTGTACAAGAGAGCAGACTGTAAGGTCCCTTTAAGGGAATGTTACTGCCTGTTCATGCACTCTCAGCCAATGAGAGCGCAATGAAGCTCAGGAGGCTCTGGAGAGATGTGAGCGGCAGACTGCATGATCACTCTACTAAAGGGACTAAAAAAACCTTGAGTTTCAGTTAGTGAATTTTTCATCTCCTTGTGTGCGTTTGTAACAGATTTTTTTCTACGTTTTGAGTTACAAGTCGGGATTTGTGCATTGTTGAGCCTGTTACTGCTAGATGATGCACATAATGGCCGGTTTATTTCTTCTGTTGCCTGATAATACATGCTTACATGTGCGAATTTATATCAGTTATCTATTTCAAGTAGACTGTTGTAACTTGTAAGTAATAACATGTTTCTTGGTGCATGTCTATGTAACTAATTTCATGTATATTTGTTGTTTCAGACCAGTAATTGCTACTTATGCCAGGATCAGACGACACAATATTTTTTGTTTTTCACAACGTTCACTATGTCAGATTAGGAAATCATAGTGCCATAAATTTGGTCAGGAGACTGGCAACACCACACGCCGACCAGTCATCGCTCACATTCTTGAGTTCATAAGTCATTGGGGAGGAGGGTGAAGAAACTGTCAATCATGCCTACAGAAGCGCTATGAATGATGCTGGCTAATTGTGTACTGAAAAGAAAAAGAAAAGAAGAAAAAAACAATTGCTGACCCGTTCCTAGGTGTCACAAAGAGGACAATATGGGCTGCCTATCCTTCAAAGAGAACTTAAGGTAACGAATATGTTAACATATCAAGAGCATCACATAAAATGTAGCTAGCTACCAGACTGGATGTAAACAGGCTACCAGGCTGTATGTAAACAAATGCTATTTCTTGCCAACATTCATCTTTTTGGACTCTGTCATGGCACTCCCTCAAGGAAACGTCTGAGAGGCAGGGGTATTGTTGCCACAGCTCAATGAACCCTCTCTGTTTCGTTGCTCCATCTGACAGCTGCAACTGCAGCATTCCTCTTTCTCTTCGCCAAGTTTACACATGTGCACCAGACAGCACTCAAACGAGACAGGAAAATACAAATCAGACATACTTTTCCTCAGGGTCTCATGGGGCGCCCCAGACGCCACATCACTGTTCTTCAATTATGTCACATTACAAGACCCATTCCTCGTTCCTGATGCTCATATTCGGGTTTAATGCTGAAAATTTGTCGGCTGGAACAAAATCATGTCAAAATTGGGGTGAATTTGTGTAGTCTGATTCTGGCACCAGGAAAGACCTTTAAGACCATTCTGACTGACACACACTCCCAGTTAACCTTGGCATCCAGGGCAATCTAGGCAAAAAAAGTTCCACTGAAATAAGAAGTGCGCAGCTAAAAGTAGTGGCATTTGGGACCACTCTTCGAGAGGACAATTGCACAACTACAACAATGTACCACCTAAAAAGCAGGCACCTGTGAAAAGACAGACAACTATTTTGTCCCTGTTCTCCAAAACAAAGTGTAAAGCATGGAGGTGTAGGGAAAATCACACATGGGTGCGCAAAATAAAATAGAGAAGGATATGGAGAACAGCTGACGACTTTCAAGAGCTACTGAGGTACACTGAGCTAAAGGTAACCCCAGTTGAGCACATTTGTCTTAGCTTAGGCTAGTAATGAGACGTCAGTATAACTTTCAAAATACATAATCTGAAACTTGCAGTCACTCATCCTTATATATTCCAGTCATTTTGTCAGCTTTTTTGTTTTTGGTCATATCATCTTGAGGATATTACAGCCCCTCAACTGTTCTTAAGTAAGGTATATTTAATACAGTTCCGGGCCATTTACTTCACATACACACTTACGCCCAGCCCCACCTATTGATACTACGTTCTACAGTCCATATAATGAACCCTTTTTAAAATCTTTGTGCAGTAACACAGAAATCAGTTGATGAGCTCACTCATAAATGTAAGTATTTTATAATGGCTTAGAACACAGCTCAGTCAATCAGATTTCACAACTTACCAATTAGCCAGGCAGATTTTAGGCTTGCTGATTAATGATTAATCAATGACTAATGACTGTCAGTTATTAGTCAAAAGAACTTGCCAAAATTTGCATTCATTCTATTATATAATAATTACACAGGGCTTTTATGTTTCGGTAACTAAGTCACCCCTCCCCATACACACACACCCCCACACAACCCCAGTAATCAATATCGTCGATGACTGACTTTGTCAACTGACCACTGCGATCCTAGACATGAGCTGATTCTGGTCAACATGGACCGATAGCTACTGATGAGAAGAGAGAAGCTAATGAGGTCTGAGCCTGTTGGAATGGCTCAAGGCCACCTGTGGCCTCACCTCTCCTCCACGATAACGTTCCGCTCATTCTTCAGCGCCGCCTCCAAGTTCTGTGTCTGCAGCAGAAGCTTGTCCATGGTGACGAAGTGCTGCTTCTTCTGCTGCTCCATATCCCGCTCCATATTCTGCTGGCTCTCCGTCTTACTGCGCAGCCTGAAGAAACAGACCAGCAAAATCAACATACTGTCACTGCAATTTAAAAAAAGCAGCAAAAAAAGTAATCATTCATTTTTACATAACCATTTTCTAATCTCTCCGTATGAATTAAACGACTAAGAATGAATGGGCTGACTAGGTGGATACATGTAAGTTAATTGGTTTTTTAACTGTTAAGATACACTGCTCTCATTTACACTAATAATTACTTAATTCTAAGTAGGATACTCAGTACGGCATTGCGATTGGAAAGTACCAGAAAACGTACTTGTACTCATACTTCATACAATGTAAAAGGTAGCTTTTCAAAAGATGTAAAAAAATATATAAAACTTAAAAAATGATGAAATTTGATATGACAGCGTTAGGCATGCACTTTCTTAAACAACCTTTTTTTCCTACTTTGTACCATGACGACACATAACATAGAAGTGTGCTTACTTTTCTTCTAAACGTCTTCTCTCGTCTTCACACTTATCAAGACAGGTCTGGCGCTCTTGTAGTTCACCAAGAAGAGATGTGACCTGAGCCCTCAGCGCATCGATGTCCTTATTCAGCTGCAAAAAAGGGAAAAAATATTACTGACTCCAATAAGCATCAGCATTGCTGTTATATACGCAAAACAACAGCAACCATTAATGAAAATCTATAAGAAAAAGAGTATAAATTATAAATTACAAAAAAGCTGTTTGCATATTTGTGTGCTTGCTTACCTGAACACAATCCTTCTCCTTCTGCTTGAGTACAGCCTCAATTCTGTCCCTCTGAATCGAGTTGTGCTCTAGAACATTTAGTTTTTCTTGAAGCTCTCTGTATCTACACCACAGAACATACAGGGAACATGCATCAGCAAGACCTCCCATGTCTGTTTTTAGGAGAACATCTTCCTGATTTAAATAGTAAAATCCATGCTGTGAAGGGGCCACTAGTGACTCGAGGGGAGGGGGGATTGTGTACATGCGCACATACATTGAAACACGGCGCCCCTCACCTGCCTTGCGTAGCCTGAAGCTGCTCTGTTAGTTTAGCCAGGTGTGAGCTAAGCAGACACGAGGCAGGAATTTAAGATGAACTTAAATTAGTGACAGACAACAATAAAGAGCCCAGATCATTTAGAGTAAACAAGAGCAAAGCAAGACTCTGTTGTTAAAAAAATGCAGAATGCACCTCGCATGCAGTCATAGAATACAAGGTTATTACAGCAAGTACTACAGCTCACATTGCCAGGTTCAAGTGGCACAAATCCGATTTTTTGCCCTAATGTGACTCAGATCTGATGTTTTCAAGGCTGTGTGGACACGCAAATCTGATCTTTTCAAGTCCGCCCTGAGCCACTTTCATAAGTGGTCCTATATTGGGTACATATCTGACTTGTGGCCATGCGACCTTAATGGGAACTCTCAGATCGGAATTCATGTGCTTTTTATCCACTGCACCTGCGCCATTATTCAGCGTTACCATGGCAACAGCGCTGAACAGAAGTTAAAGCCTGTAAACGATGGAAAAGCAACACATCTCACCTTTTCACCTTCATCTCGCTCTAATAATGAACAGCTAAGAGCTAAGAGTGTGAACCATCGTGTGAGAGAGAGCAAAAAAATCGGATTTAATCAATGAGGCTTGTAATGTGAACGTAGCCGTAGTACAAAGTTACTACAGTAGTCCCACAGTTAGTACAGAATTACTACAGTAAGACTTCACTGCTTTGCCATGCTAAAAGGAAGAAGACATAAACAGGACAGTACCTTTCTGGGGAAACTGTTACAGCATTCGTGTTGGGAACCGTCTCCACTGTTACATCACCACTCTGCCAAAAAAAGAAACGTTTTAAGAAGCACACGCCCAAATCTTACAACATCTTTGAGACAAGGCTGCTTAAACTGGAGTTTTCCAAATATAGTGAAGCCATTTATCCTATTCATTGAGGGGTAGGACTGTATGAAATGGACAAAATACTAAATGACAACTACATTGGAATTAACTAACTAAATAATTAGGACTGTCAAAAAATTAAAATAATTAATTGGAATTAACTGTGTTATTTGGTGTAATCACGATTAACTGCACTTGGCTTCTTTGTTTAAATTTGACCCAAAAGTAAGGGTAAGTTTTTCCATTTTGTTACAAATATATATGTGGACAAAACCTTCATTAGAACATGTTTATTACTTTCAGTAATTCATCACTGGCATTTTCCAATTTCCCCTGCAATTGTGGCCTCTCACGCTCATACAGCTACGTTACATATTAATCTGGGGGAAACAGACTTTGCTATTGCTTTTCTCAGTTTGCTGCTCATTGATTTATAGGTCTTCACTGTTGACTTATCCATGGGTGTTTCTGATTTATGTACAGATCACATTACATTGTTTTGCTACCATTTTCAACGAATGTATGAAATTACCTGCATGAGCTGACTCATTTTGACACGTAGCTGCTCCACAGTAGCCAGAAGGCTCTTCTTCTCCTTTTCACTCTCCATTTTCTCCTTTTCTAGTTCTTCATTCCTCTTCCTCAGCTCTCTCATTCCTTCCTCCAACTTCTCCTTATGACTTTTGAGCAGTTTTAGGAACTCATTAGAACCTTCACTAGGCTACAGAACACAGAGACGTATGGAGTTAGAAAAAAAAATACAGCCACATGCAAAAAAGGGCATTGTTTCCAGCACCTACGAATGAATGTGCTTTACTCTCTGTTCTTGAGTGAGTATCCATTACATCCACAATAAGCAATCAGGCTCAACTTAAAGGACACATGCATTGCACTGCGCCATTTACCAAGCTTGTGTGAGCAATTAGTATCATGAACTCAAAGTGCTTCAGAGCCCTGATGACCAGGTTTCTGACATAGAGACCTGCCCAGTTGATTGCTTAAGTGATTAAAAAAAGTAGAGGGAAAGAGGGAGATGGCGCAAACCAAAAAAAAAGTAAGGGCTTAATAGGGGTGAGAGGTGTATCAGTATAAAAGTGAATACAGGTATGACTTGTCTCATGACATCCTACGGTGATGTAATCTACAAAACATGCGTTCACCAGCAGCCTTAAAACACTAGATTCACTCATCACTCTGCTCTGGGATTCATCACTGGTGACCCTTACAGAGCTCATCACTGCACACTTTATGACAAAGTTGGTTGGTCCTCTCAGCCACGCAGCAGGAAACCCTCAGGTTTGTTTTTATTTATAGGGCACTTCCTGGCCATCTTATATCACATCTACGCTCTCTGTAAATCATGATATTCATCAGACCTGCTCCAATGACTAGATAACCTGTCAGGTTCCAAGAGCTTTTACTGAACTGGTAGACGCATCGCAGATGCATGGGAAAATCCTCTTTTAATTACAGTGCACCAGCAAACTGCAATACACCACAGGAAACTATAAAGCTCCACTCACTGGTGTCACTCGACCGTTTTAAACTTATAATCACTAACCACCTCCACTCAGCCTGCAACTTTTTCATTGGATTTTAGTTCCTTTCTGCTCTAATTTATTCTATTTCACTATTTCATTGCAACTGTTTTATTTGATATTAATTCTTTTACTGTTCCATTATACTATTTTATTAATTTATTATATTTTTAAGATCTTTTTGTTTTTCTGTCTTTTTTCTTATTTGAGCTTTTGTTTTTACGTCTTTATAAATCACCTAGTTCATTTTGTCTTGCTGATTTTGATTTGTTTTGGTTGATAAATTTCATTTTAGTGCTTCCTCGGCTTAAACGTTAATTGATTGATTCACATGGAACTGGCTATATCATGGATACAGTGATAAGCTAAAAATAAAACAGTAAACCAAAAATAAAGAAATTAAACAAATAAGCATTTTGCACCACAAGCAGTAACTTGTGACCTGCAATTTGCTCCAATGTTAATCAGTGTAACCTCTATATCGACCATGTGTAGCAATCAGCTTGGAAGCACAACACTGGGCATGTTTTCTTGCCTTTTTTCGGTAGTGCTGGCATAGACTGTTATTTTGTGATTATTTCTTTTTCACGGCTTTGTTGTCCTCTTTTGGAAAAAACAGATATAACGTCGGCCGAGCAAGATAAAAAAGGACAAATCAGCTCAGAAGTGTAACAGTGAGCTACCTTTGTTAGATACAGCAAACAGTAAAATTAGGCCTGTGCCTGGAGACGGTAAATCAAGTTACTGTAGTAAAATCCACCAATAGGGTAAAAACCTATTTTCTGCCAGTTAAAAAAAATTGTTAATTTCTTGATTTGTTTTTTGCAAACTATAGCCAGACAGCTGCTCTCACACACATAACTGAACTTTTAAACATTGGGTGATGTGATATTCTACATTAATACCACATTTATTGCACGTTCTTAAACATGCTCTGTGCTGCAGGCAGACATCACGGCTGTACAAAAAGCTACCTCTAGAGTACGCAGAGCATTTTAGGAAAACCTTACACCACAGCGTCAGGTTTCAGACTGAATAATGACTTGGGAAAAAGAAGTAGAACACTCTGAATAAAACGTTTGTCAGTTATTGTTCATCAAGCAAAATGGGTAAATTTAAACAGCATCTGGCGAAATGTCATCGGAAAGGAAGGTAAAGGGGTCGGCTAAATAGCCACAAACTCTTTAGATAATAAAGTTCATGTAAGACTGACATTTTTCCGTTCTTCTTTACTAAATTAATTACAGGTTTGTGGATGACGGTACACTATAACTACTTTAAGTTTTAACTGTGTTGTTTTATAAAGAAGAAATCTTGTATTATTAACTTTGTTAACAGTAGTTATAAAATTGATAACAATAATAACAATACCTAATATTATTATTACTATTATTTTTGGATATTGTGATGATATAACAGCGGAAGAATTGTGGTATAAATCTGAGCTACTGCCCACCCCTAGCATCCGGCCCCATTCCTGGCGATCTACTCCCTGCAGTGTTTAGTTCCAACCGTAGTCCAACATATATGATCCAGCTAATCAACATCTTCAGGGACATCTGAACACTTAAGCTACTTTTCAAACTAATCTCCATTTTTCGTATTCATAGCACATGTTCCATTACCACGGATAGTACTACCGATTACCATGGATAATTCTGACAGTTCTCCATGTGCTTCCAAGAACGGAGAACATGCAGACTCAAAACTCACTCATAATAAAAGCCACTGGGCAGTTACAGGATAGCATAAAGAAATAATCAAACTACAAGGCTATATCCTGCTAACAATACAGGTCTTAACATGGAAGACATGAGCCTACAAAAGCTCTTTTTAACACTAAAGTTTTTTTCCAAGTTTCAAACAATGGAACCACACAATAAACAAGCAGTTCCTTTGTTTTGTTTTCCATAAGCTTTTCTGATATCCTGTAAAACTATACCACTTAACGTATTCTTCCGTGTGGAAAATGAGTCTCAGATTCCCAGCTTTACATGTTTTTGACTACAGGATTAATCAGCGTTCTACAAAACTACAGGTTTCATATAAACACAGATGGAACATAGCAACTGCCCAGTGGCTTCGTTTACAGACAAATTAGGTTAAAAACCACTGGAGTATTTCTTTAAGATGATGACTGGAATTAGCTCTGCAGGACACTGGCTTTACCGGAGAACAAATTAAATACTACATGGACACCCTTACTCCCAGAGCAAAAGGAGGAAAAGGGAGCAGCTTAAAAGGAAATTAGGAGGAGGAGTGATTCAGCAGGGAAGTCAGCATTTTTTTCTGGAGTCACAGAAGCAGATGCCCAGGATAAAGAGGTTGGGGGAGGTGGTGAAGGGCTCACCTGACAGGCCCTGCCCTCTCCCTCCACCCAGCACAACCCTTCAGCGCAGGGCAGGCTGTCACACAAACTGGGAGGGAAACTACTGACGGGGCTATTCTCACTAGATACCTAGACACACAAACACACATGTATGGATATTGAAAAGAACATACAGACTTCTTAGCAGGGGTGTAACTACAGGGGGCCCTTCCACTTCGAAGGCAGGCCCCTTAGACCTCTGTCCATTTAAAAAAAAAATTCTTGACTGCCAATGAAAATATTACAAAATGTAAAGTCGTCATGGCCATGTGCCTTTTTCCACCTTAAATAAATACAAGAGACATAAAATCCTTCTTTTGACTATGACGAAGTTTCAGTGGACGCTACCACCACGGCAGTTTTTACAAGGTCACATACCACCACTGGTCACACCAAAAGGCACACCTTTCCCCCCATGTAGAGGTGCTTTTTTTAAACATGCAAACACAGCATAAGCTTGCGTCACTGTTTCTCATGATGGTGAGAACTTAATTGAGCTGTACCTATTACTACTGGGGATGTGGACAAGTACTCAAATCCTCAGTTAATTGTTTGAGGTGCCAGATTCACATACTAAAATCACTATTTGGGTATTCGTTCCATTTCCTCATCTTATTCATATAGGCTATTTATTTAGCTACCGTATAGCAGTACTTGGCAAAAAAGAATAATAATTTTTTCTTTAAATGTCAATAATTTTGAAAAAGAGACATGAAAATCACAATTTCAAACATTTAATGTGAACATCTACTCCTACTGCTGTAAAAGGTTAATATTTACCCACCGTAGTATACAAGGCTGAAGTCGGCTTCACACTCATCAGCTTCTTACCTGAATTTTCCTTCCTACTTTAAATAATATAGTAGTTAGAATCTGGCACCTCAACTGGTATATTTGAAAAAGGAATTTTAAAAGAAGCTTTTCAATAAGGCTATGTTCAGACTGTCAGCCCAAATCCGACTTCTGGCACATCCAGATTGTATCCATATTGATTTTGATAGTCCGAACAGCCAAAAAAAAATACAAGTCTGATTTTTGTAAACTGGATCTAAACCACATTTAGAGGTGGTTTAAAATGTTATTCCAATTAGATCTTTACAGATGTGTCTCAGTATGGATGCTTTGGCCACTCAAATCAGACTTTAAAGTGTCTTTTGGGTCACTCGCAATGAGACAGACAATGACAATGTCAAAGCCAGAGTGATCCTCAGTATAGTGATGTGTCTGGGACATAATAAATGCTAGCTGTTCCCCTGAAGCTGTTTTCAGGCCCCCAACAAAAATACAATTTTAGCTACACCACTGCCTCATAGTGTATAAAAGAAATCATGTGCCCTACCAAGCTTCGATGCATTGCCTGTCTATCAGTGTCTTCCTCCACACCATGCTTCTGGTTAGCTTCTTCTAAAGCCTGGAGAGCAGGAGGAAAAAAAAGGATTTAAGTATAGAAAGGTCATGGGTCATACAGCTCATTGAATGTTTATCTTCTAAATAAACTAAAAAAAAAAAAGGCTTTTGAAACTGTCACTGTAAACCTACTTCAGGAGAGTCAACCAGGCCATTACTCTCCACATTTGGGCTCTCCAAGTTCTTGTTTTGACTTCCAGTCTCAGAGAAGTTGCCAGGGCTTTGAGTTGCTGAGTGGTTGGCACTGTGGTTGAGCTTGCCCAGCAAACTCTGATTCTCCTGAGCCAGTCGCTCCACTAAAGCCCGGGCCTCACGAAACCTACAGCTTAGAAATTCCCTCTCCTCCCTAGATCTTCGCTGCCATCCTTCCATCTCCTCACACCTGTCCTTTAGGGCATCATTGCTCCGTTTCAGGGCCTCTGTAGCAGAGTCAGAATCACACACAAGTCAGGAAACCACAACTAGGGCGAGACAGTACGGCAACAGGACATGTTTCAGGTTTGATAACTTATACAACATTACACATACTATACTGCACTTATTCCATTCAGATAGTATTAGTTATGTTCTCTTTTTAATGAAACATGTAGTAATAATAATATTTTATTATTATAGTAATAATCTTTATTTATATAGCACTTTAATTCCAGTGGCAGCTCAAAGCACTTCACAGAAATTATGAGTACCAATTTAAAATCATATAAGAAAATGGCAAAGTTCAAATAAAAAAAAAAAAATACCATGAGGCATAGTTTTAATTAAATGCTAAGTTAAAGACATATGTTTTTAAATTCTTAAAATTTGACTGTCTAATAAAAGATGGAATTGAGTTCCACACTTTAGATGCATAATAAATGAAAGAGGCCTCTCCATATTGTCTGTATTTTAGAGAAGGTATTTGCAGAATGTCTATCTGCTATCTGCAGATCTAACATCACATGCTGGAACATAAACAGACAGACATTCTGTGATGTAAGCAGGTGCTAGGTCATTTAGAGCCTTAAAAACTAGTAGCAGAACTTTAAAAATGTACTCTTAATGATACAGGTACCCAGTGCTTTTCTTTCAAACAGGACTGATATGATCTCTCTTTCTGTTTTTGTGAGGATCCGTGCTGACGCATTTTGTACGAGTTGCAAGGGACGTACTATTTTCTTAAGAAGCCCAGTAAGAAGATCATTGCAGTGATCAACTCTGCTTGTAACAAATGCATGAACAAGTTTCTCTGCATCGCTCTAAGATAGAAAAGGCCGATATTCCTCAAATGATAAAAAGCTACTTTAGTGACTGCATTTACATATGAGATAAAACAAGGCTCAGTGTCTAAGAGTACACCCAGGGTTCATACCTCAGGTTTGATATATGAAGCTAAAGAACTAAGCTTCTCATAAAGCAGCTTTCTCTAAGTGTTAGTACCAAGGATCAGTGTTTCAGTTTTTTTGTGATTTAGTAGTAGAAAATTTTGTGACATCCCCTGAGAAATATGTGACTCACAGTTGGTAAGCCTGTCAATAGTCTTGAATATCAGAAGGAATGGAAATGTATAAACGTGTGTCGTCAGCATAGCTATAAAAATTGATATGATTTATTATTATTTATTATTCCTAATGACATCACCTAGAGGTAACATGTACAAAAAAAAAGCAAAGACCCTAAAACTGCACCGTGTGGGACTCCACAAGAAATTATACATTTTTTATTTTTTTTCCTAGCGAAACCAAGAACAGTCTATTAACTAAATATGATTTAAACCATTCTAAAACTGCGCCTGAGAGGTCAACAAAGTATTCAGGAAAGTGGATTGCAATCTTGTGGTCAAAGGTATCAAAAACTGCACTAAGATCCAATAAGACCAAAACAGAAGGATTTTGTGTATCAGCGCTGAAGCCTGAGATCACTGACAACACAAACCAATGCTGTCTCAGTACTGTTAGAATGGAAACCTGATTGAAACTTTCTACATAACTTGTTTGATAAAAGATATACAAGTAGTTATGTCAGTGTTCTTAAAATAACCTATGATATGCACAGCATGCACAGAAGAGCTTACTGTGACATAGCATGATATAATTGATCACAATAACAATAAGTATCACCATAATGTCTACCCCTATATACAACATAACTAGGCTGACAGATTACAATACCTCGTAACTGGTGGTTATCTGCCAGAAGTCTGTGGACCACCTCGTTTCCGGCTAATTCAGGTGGTACTCTCAGCGATCCTTGTGAACTGGCCATCAGTGACCCTTGGCTGCCAGCACCTACAGCTTCCTCTCCGGTCATCTCCCACTGTAAGGTACTGCCTCCGTGAGGCTGAGGCTGAACCATGTCCTATAAAAGAAAGTCACAGAGAAAAAACACCCATACAGTATTATTATGGTCATTTTAAAAACCAGAGATATATCCAGTTATATCCATTTCCATCAAAGTAGCGCACACGTACGTAAAGCTAAGCCTCACGCTTAAAGGAAGCATCGTAACAGCCACAACTGCCCTTAAAAACAGGTACAACAAAACACCGCTTCGTTAAACTTTCGTTTCGGTGTTGTAAATACTGTGGCCATCTTTTGACACTGACACTGAACTAGGTTAGCTAGCTCGCTGTTTACCACCAACCTTTCCGGCGTGTACACCGGATTACGGGCTAAACTTACCCCCGCGCATGTTTCAAGACAAAAACAGAACTACCACTGCTTTTATTCTTACATGACATTTTTATCAGTGTCGTTTTTCAGATTCACACAGGCTGTGTTTAGCTTTTAGTCCTTAGCCAGCTAACCTGCTAGCAAGTTAGCCAGTTTGTAGGTAACGGATGTCAACAGCGCGAGGCGAATAACAACATACACAAACGGTACATTTTGTTCGTAACGAGGCGCAAAACCCAGCGGGGTAAACACGTAACACAGCACTGAAATAAAATCAGAATAACCTTATCTTACTGTCTCACTGACGCGTGTTTCCAACAGCACTTTCTGACTTGGCTAGCGCAGAGCTAACGTCAACTTAACGCCGCCGAGTCCGGAAGACTTGTTGAGGCGCCCGAGAAGCGCTAACAAGCCGCTGCCAGCGGTCAACAACCAGGCGCCAGCTCTTCCACCATGTTCAGCACAAATAATCAGGATAAACTGTACGTTAAGCCGCAATGACAACTCTCAAACCCATCTACACAAGGATGAGGGTTGCTCAGGAATTCCCCCCCTTATTTCTTCCGCACTTCATCACACAGTCGGCTTCGTGCTGCGGAGCCAATCGCGCAGGAGCTGGCGCCGTGTTACCGGATATGGCCGAACGGCTACGTGATTCTGAGTGAGCGCAGGCTAGCATTAGCTAGGCCTGGCTGCTCTACTGCAGCACTGTACATTTTAACTATCGTTTACAGCAATTTGTGCCACATTTCCTCACTTACATCAACCTTTTTCACCTTCACTTGTATCCGTCTCAAGTCTAAGAGGTTTAATTGGCTTCAAGGGGCTTTTAACAGGTTATGATACTGCAAGGGATCCCAAAGTTAGTCCTGGGGACCTCTGCTTTTTGACCCCTGAGCTTGTTAATTAGGTAAAGAACCAGTTTCCTACATTTTGTTGTTTTTCTTCTGAGGTCCACTTAGGATGTTCGTGTGGGTTGATGTATCAAAAACAGCCATAATTAATTTTTTTACATGGCTGTTTTCCAAGCCCTCATTATTCCAGAATTGAACAGGCTGTTTTTGTTACTGTTCCTTTAAGCTTGGTGTAAGAAAAATATCTGTTCTGATTGGCTACCTTGTATTGTGCCTCATTCAGAAAACAACTAGTGGCAGAAAATGACAGGAAATTATTAAGTCTGAGATCTGCTTTGTTGTCATGGAAACGTCAGTTAAGACTGGAGTTAGGACAGAAGCCATTACAGGACAACAGTTCTTAGCTAAGTCTATAATCTTATCTTATTCCCAGATAAGAAAACGTGTGTATGTGTGTCTGTTTATTAGGAGGAATAACGTCAGCGTGCTCGGCTAAAGCGTTTGGGAAATGGAGACTGAAACTGTGGAGCGGCGACACTCTGATAAACAGCACAAACCGCTGTCACAATATTCATAACTCTCAGTTTATCACGCTTTAGTTTTATTTGACCTTACCTCAGTAACGGTAGCTAACGTAGCTGTCTGGCTAACTAACTTGATTACATGTTTATGTTTCAGCTGTGCGCGTATGGTCGGTTGCTAGGTAACAGACATGCCAGTTGACTGTCAACTTCAATCGAGTAAGCTAGGATTTACTAACATAATAAGAAAAAAGATAAGTAAAGATGCTGTAAGATAAGATAAGATAAGATTTTTAAATTAGGATAAGATTTGCTTCTGTAATACGAATTTGTGAAAAATCTTATCTTGACCTGTCAGATCTTAAGTTAAGAGAAAAAGATAAGAATTTTCTGTAATACAGCCACTGGGCTGTAACACTCCTTATAACATCAGTGTGAATGGGTGGGGCTGAACCGCTGTTGGCTGAACAGGCAAATGTATGTTAATTAATTGTTTTTTGTGACAAGACTAAAACAATACATGCAAAATTGGGCTGTTTTTGCTGCTCCGTTTCCATGCTGTGAGTGTTTGTTTGAAACTTTAATAATCACATCACATGGTTTTATTTCACAAAGTGAGGAACATTAAGATGAAAAAAAAATTTGCATAGCGTGGGGGCCCCAGGACTGACTTTGAGACCACCTGGGATACTGTATGACTCTTGAACCTAGAGCAGTTTTGTTTTTTCCTTCTCTAACACACCTGATTCAGCAAACACCATTTCTAATAACTGGCTAATGATATGGTTCAGGTGTGTTATAACAGGGGAAACATAGAAGTGAGGAGGTTGCCCGTCTGATCTCAGACTAAAACCTTCTCAGAGCTGTTGTAAAATGTCATAGCAATATCATGTAATAACGTTCTGTGAAGGAACTTTTGGAGGCATTAAAAGCTTCAGACTTATGGTTCCTATCACCACCACTGTGTACAATTCTGAATCTGTAAGTTTCTCTAGATTCTCTATCAAACCACTCTAAATTACTTTGTTTACATCTTAACAAGTTAACTATGCAGAATTGTTGAAAAATTCATGGAATTCCCCTTTTAACACAGTTGGGCACAGAACACATTTTCCTAGAAGTGGGTGTAGTGGCAGCATGCATTAGCAGTTAGCAGCCTTTCCTCTCACTCATATAACTCTTGGAGAAACTGAGTCTTGAAAGTGACATTGCTAATTACTGCAAATTGGTATACTACGACATGGTTCATCAAGGTGACCTATATACTGTTGTCCCTCGCTGTGGAATGTCTCAGGAGCACGGGTTGGTCTGTGGTTGGTTTGTGGTGTAGCGCTTGATGGTTTATCTACTCACTCTGAGTGGAAAAGTGTTTTTATCACTGAAACTATAAAGACTGGTGGGGTCCCACTCACTGGAGCATGTGGTGTGTTTTTCCTGTGTATGGTGGGGTGGTGTCTGCTCTGCTAGTGATTTCCTTGCCCTTTTTCCTCCTACTCATGGTACTGATGAGGAGGAGAAATGACTAGTCTGTTCCTTCTTGAAACTCTCAGAGGTTATGTGAAATGAGTCATCACTTTCAAGTCAAATCAACTGTTTATCTGTACGCTACAGCCAGACCACTGGAGGGCAGCAGCTTTCAGCACTGACGAGGGGACTCACCGTCACCTTCCATCTTGCATGCCTCAGTGCAGAAAGACAAGACAGCTCTGCTGGGAAATCTGCTTGCGGTTTGGCCGTGTTGCGTGGGGGCTTCCGCAGGGTACCTGCATCGCCTCCTGAATGCTAGGTTCAGTTTCCTGTTGTGGATGTGGTCTAATTCACTAGTTCCCTGGACAAATGTGTACTTTTTTCTTGGCCTCTTGGCATGTTGCCTTTTAGGATCACACTCTGTTAAAAGACTCTCCTTCAAACATTACAGACATTGCCTGCGCTCTTTCAGAAAATAAAAGGTTTACCGGGTAACTAGATCATGTTTCGAGGCAGGTTTTGGTGAAAACAGTACAGAAGAATGGTGAATCACTCTTTTGGTTTATGCACCAAATGTTCAGACCTAACAGGCCCTGCATATTTGTCAAGCTTCCTCTTTTACAATGTTTAAAAAAGGTAAAATTAAAAAAAATTAAAAATATTTTTTTGAATTCAGCTCTTAGTTAGTGTGTTTTGTTTTTTTTGTTTTTTTTTAGTAAGGTCAATAGATATATAATAAGAGAGCATTAGAAGAGCCCTGGCACCGGACACCTTTAAATCCAGGCTTTCAGCTCAGTTTAAACACTGTTAGCATTTCTAGCCCCTTTTCCTCTGTAACGGCACTTTTTCAACTTTCAGTTTGTCCTAATTTAATTTCTAATTAGATTTTTAATTTAATGATTTTCTCTTTTAGATTTGTTTTAATTATGTTTTCATTATGTTTTTAATGTTGTTTTTAATTATGTTTTTCTATGTGTGCTTACTTGTTTTAAACAACTCTGGCTCTGAATGTTCTCATTTGTAAAGCGCTTTGAATGACAGCAGTGTTTGAAAGGTGCTATATAAATAAACTTGCCTTGCCATAATGAATGGTCTAATAATATAATAAATTGTTCTAATTATATAACTTAATTATCTAATAAACATTGTTTAAAATTTTTACCACTTCAGCAGATTCTTTTACTTTTCAGCATTAAAAACTTTTTTACACAAGTTGCTTTATACACAAAACAGACGCTTAGACGCTTTAGTCAATAGCGTTTTCTCTGCAGGTAGACAAAACCTCTTCTGGGCAGCTTAAAAGCCCCAGTCAGAAATTCCTGAAACTGTAACAAAGCCCTCTTAGCAGAGGTTGTGGGAAATTTGGTGAACTGACATTTAGCATCACTCTTAAAAAATATGGTTTGTCAAGGGTTGTTTAGGAAAGGGAATGGTTCTGTTTAGAACCATGAGTTCTATATAGAGCCATTTTATGCTTAAATAGTTCTTTACATGTTGAAATCGTTCTCCAGATTGATGAAGAACATGTTGTATATGGTTCTATATAGAACCTTTTTGAAAATGGTTCTATATGACACCAAAAAGGGTTCCTCTATTGTTTTGATGTCAAGCTTGTAACAACAGAAGAACCCTTTATTGATGCTATATAGAACCATATACAACATTCTACATCAATCTGAACAACCATTTTGCCATGCAAAGAAGCATAAATCATCAAGAAATGGTCTATATTGAAGTCCTAGTTCTAAACAGAACGTTTTCCTATACAAATGAACCTTGGAGAACCAACTTTTTTAAGAGTGATGATTTAGCACGTGTATTTTGTGATTATTTGAAGGCTTGCTGTCATTGTAGTACTGACAGCCGACCTGCCTGATCCATGAATGTTGCTTCAAGCTATAGCTTTATGTTATTCACAATGCTTGGTAGCAGAGAGCTATCTCTAAATAGCTGAAACTCTAGGCGACACTGTGTAGTACAGCTTGTCCCAGTTTAGCCCAGTTTTGAATGGACCATTGCTAAAAAAAATCAGTGCATGTTTCATATTCTATGGTATTTTATTTTAACATGTATAAAATACAAATACAGGAATAAATCACAGCCTAGAGAGCAATAAAAATGAAAAATTGAGAGCAGATAGCAGTTGATGAGCACTGCACATATACAACAGTATGATATCAATATTAGTGTGATATTGACAGAGTATCAATGTGTGTGTGTTCAGTCAATGCTGACAACAGTGCTGGTACTCATTTCAACACCAATTATGCCAAAGAAAGAGAGGTAGTTGTAAAAATAATGAGTTTTATTGTTGCTGTCGGAACAAAACTTTATATCTCCATTTTTGTCTTGAATTTTACTTTGGGTGAAAATTTTGCGATGAACAGACAAATAGAAATGGGCCAAAATGACTGAGAATAAAATCTCTTCACAATAACTTCCATTGAAATAATAATGTTTTTTCCCTTTTCCTCTGAAGTTACTTTTTTTTTGGAGATACAAGGTTTTGTTCCGACACTGACACTATCCTTGTTACTGCAACAAGCCTAATCTCCTACACAGGCTCCCTCCTGAAACACAGATTTGTTTAAGAGTTAAAATGGGCCTAAATCCTAAACATCTACATTTTTTGTAAGAACTTTCTTTAATAAGTGTTGACATGTGAAGAAAAGACGTGGGGATGGATTTGTGCACAGTTTTTCATTGAGTTTCCTCTCAGTCTTTGGAGACTAATACGTACACTCCACTACAGCATCGGGCAGCAGACGTGCAGAACGGTGCGATGAAGATATTCACCACACTCATCCACAGCGACCTCACACAGGGCAGACAGGTGTGACACACCTGTATACAGGGCATCACACACCTGAGAAAGAACCAGAGAGAGACAATGAGGGACAATGTGAGCACTAGATGTGTTCTGTTCATGAAATAGTTTTGACAAGAGGTGGTCTGATACCGCTTTTCTTATCCAATACACTATAAAACTATGAGTATCGACTGATATGTGAAATATATGTGAAACAGCACGTTTAAAAACAGTAATACTGTAACTTACAGTGCAAATGTGTGCAAAATTGCACTTAAAATCAAGGATTTGTAATTCAGGTATAATACTTATCTAGCCACTCACTGGTGTTAGCCTAAATGTAATCCTGCAAGCCAGACTTGTGACTACTGGCAGAAAGGTGACATTTAACTGCCATGCAAAGCGACCAATCACAAACTGTTCTTTTTGCATGACGTTTAAGGTCAAGTATCTTTCCAAGTGGTGCTACAACAAAAACACACCCACGGCAAACAAAGCGGTATGTCTGCTGCAATATCTTGTTAAAGTTGCAGTGTGTAAGATTCAGTGGCATCTAATGGTGAGGCTGCAAATTGCAACCAACTGAATACCCCTCCCTCACCCCTTTCTTTCCAAGTGTGCAGTTGAACCTACAGCAGCTGTCATGTTTTCTGCCATTTTCTGTCCCGATTTAGTTTTTTTGCTTCTTTGACAATGAGGATTCACCCTGCCTTGCTTTTTCTTGTGCTAAATAATAAGTGTGATCCTCCATTCGTCAAAATGTTACTCAAACTTCTTACAATACAAAATGCTTTGCCAGCACCGGCAGCAACCACTGACTCTTTTTCTTTCTATGTCTTCCAAACAGTCCTACAACTCCCCTATTCAAACAGGCACTTTAACATAAAAACACAAAAGGCACTCTCTAAAGCAGGGGTGTCAAACTCAACCACTGAAAGGGCCATATTAAAAAAAAATTTTGTACATTTTTACTGTACATTTTGCCACAACCTGAAGGGGTCAATGTTTATTCAAAATATGCCAAAACTGCAACAGAAAAATAGCCATTGAATACGTATTCAAAACTAATTCTAAATGAAAATATATATTTTTTTTTTTGCTTGAACTGGACACCAGGCATCTTTTCTTTTTGTGTAACTACTGGTCTATAGATTGTTGTTGGGGGAAGGGGGTTAGAACATAGCACACTATGTTGCAGTGCATGCTGGGGACTGTAGTGCTTCTCTGGGTGACACTGGCTAATAAGAATAGAAAATTAAAATAATTTCACAGGCCAAATAGGACTGTGTCACGGGCCCTTGTGTTTGTCACATGGGCTCTGGAGCCTGTGTTTGGTTTGTGTGTTCTGGGCTACTGTAGAAACATGGTGGCGCCTCGTGATGGCCTCTGTTGGAAGAGGACACGCTCCCTGTGTAGATATGAAGGGCTCATTCTAAGCTAATGAAAACACAGCAATTCATGGTTACAGGTGATTATACAGTAATGAAAACATTTTCTGCAAATACATCCCCCTAAATCTTACTCACTGCACCTTTTATGCTTCAAATAAAACACATCAATAACTGTTAAAAACTGTTGTGTGAACAAATTTTTTATACATCTGTTTATTGTTCCGAAACATTAATATTGACATCTTAAACAAGCACGCCAGCATTAAGCTTGCAAATCAAATTCTTGTTTTCCATTCAAAGGATAAAACCGAGTGCACAGAAGTGCATATACAGACATACAGATAGCCAATGAGAATGGAATCTGACAGTTGTGGCCAGCTTAATGTACAATAAATATCACTCGTGTATGTGTGGGTGAAGAGTTTGAGGGTGAAACTAATATACATTTGGCCACATTACCATCGCTTTGGTGACCTACTTTACGTTGCTATGTGTAATGTTGTGCCACAAGCAATTCTGTGATACTTCAGGCTAGATTTGAGTTGGAATTTGAACAGATGTTCCTTTGAAATCTGTCCCTGCATTTTTTGCTGATATCAGCCCAGTACCAATACTGCATATTGGATCGGAAGATTGCATATTCATCTCTAATTTTAGTGAATGATAGTTCAGGTGCAATTTACTGGCAGCACCACCAATGTATTTGGTACAACTGTTTCATAGAGAAAGCATGAAAATGTGCAGCAAACAGGGTGGCGAAGTGGAAAGTGTGTACATTACCAGATGTGGAAGCAGGCCAGGAGTGCAAAGAGACATCCAGAGAGGCAGGAAACAGGGACAGCACACACTGCAGTAAGGCAGCGGTAACTCCAGATTCGTGCTGACTCGAACCCAATGTCACTGTACACCCAAACACGGTCGTAACTACGGGTGGAGGGTGGCTCGGCCAAAACGTCACTAAACTCCACCTGTGGTGTCATGAAGAAAAGAGGAAGCATCAAAGAAGAGATTAATAGATGTTGAGAGAAAACTGAAAATCTGTGTATCTCAATACTGAAACACTGACCCTGGATGACCCCAATGGGACTACAATTCAATATTATCCATGGTTCACCTCAGGACAGGATTAGTTGGATCAGGTATGTTTAAACAGGAAAACACCACAATACGCAGGGCAGGCGTACTTCTGGATCGAGGCTTGAACCAATTATATTGTTGTTTGTGTTTACAAGTTTTAAATAGCTACTACTGGGGTCTCCCAAGTGGTGCAAGTGTCTAAGCATTGGCCCCATCATCAGATCATGTGTTCGATCCCTGGTGATGCCACAGCCACCTGTGACCGGGAGTCCTAAAGAGCATAATTGGCCTCGCTTTTTGAGTAAGTAGGATCAACACATCCTTTCAGTTTACTTACTTTGGAGCAGAGGTTCCCAGCCCTGGTCCGGCACAAAATACACCCATTTCAACTCAGTTAATTAGCTGATTTGTTGCATCAGGTGTATTAAGAGCAGGGCAAGCACTAAGGCAGGGGGTCCTACAGGACCAGGGATGGAATCCAAGGCTTTGGACAATACTTGTGTTTGTGTAACATGTTCAGGGATGGATCATGATCTCACAAGGCCATTCAAAGTTCAGTTTACACCAAGACATTCTTATACGTTTTTGATGAAAGAGTAAAATTGCCTTTATTTTCCATAGTTGGATAGATGAGTGGTTAGACGGAGATCTGAGTCAAAAAGGGAGTTGTGAGTTGATTGACTGCTATTCAAACGATTCCTTGCCCGTTACTTAACCATATTAGAGCGGCATGGGTGGAGGTCTTTGGCTATGAGATCTTGAATGACTTCTGGTTGTTGGCAATTAAGAGGATACATTCAACTTCTGTTTGTATTAGACCCAGTTTTCTTCAGTTTAAAATGTTGCATAAGCTCCATCTTTCTGGGAGCTGTCTTGCTGAGATATATCCGTCTGTAGACCCAACCTGCTCCTGAATTCATCAGGCCCCAGCCACCCTTTATCACATGTGCTGGTCATGCCCACGGTTGGTGCAATTCTGGTCCTCTATTTTTGACACATTCTTCTATATTTTCAGAAAAGAGATCAGTCCTGGCTCTGAAATTGCTATATTTGGTGTGGCCCCTGGTGGGGTGGCAGTGTCAGCTGCCTGTTCTGACGCCATAGCCTTTGCATTCTTACTGGCTCAACGCCTTACTTTGTTTAATTGGAAATCAGGTATTCCTCCTAGGGTGGGGGAGGACATGGCATATTTAAAGTTCGAGAAGTTGAAATACTGAACCAGGGGGTCCACCTAAAGATTTCATAAAGTTTGGCAGGTATTTTTTTAGACTACTTTAACTTTGAGTTCCCTTCTGATACTGAAAAATAGAACTATGTGTTTAGGTTTTAATTCATGGACAATCTGAGTTATAGATGAATAACCTTTTTATTGGTTCTTTTTGGTGGTCTTGTTGATTGTATGTGTTGCCATGAATGTGTTTGCATTCAGAAAGCCAATAAAGAATTGGAATGATAACTCTCCATAATACAGCTGAAATAGGCCACCTTAGCAGTCCAGTGAGCCTCCATTTTACTTATGATCCATTATCAATTCTGTTCTGCTTTTCAGAAGATGATCAGCATCACTCATTTAAGCATTTGAAAAAGCCCGCAAACCCACACAGAGCAACTGATTGGATACTAAACACCAATCTTTTTTTGTTTTTGGTCACATTTAGATATCATTGGCCATGTTCGTGTAAAAATATCAACATTTCATCATTCATTTCATTTATTTCATCATATATGAATATTCAAGTGCTATTCATCTCATTTTTACATCTGCAGTGGGTTTGTCTCAAGTCTTTGAACTGCCTCTGGCTATGTGGTCCCTCCAAGGCCCTCCTAGGACACTGACAGTGACCAGCCCATGAGCACTGGCTTCACTGGCCCAACTGGCCCAGTCAGTAATCCATCCCTGAACATATTGTATTCATTTGGAAGCGATGATTTGAATCAAGTATATTCAAAGCATTACAGTTTTAGTGCATTCAGTACGATTAATCAAATCCCTCAGTCTCCCCTTGTTGGCCCCACCTTTAAGTGGTTGTTGACTCCATAAGGGTCCCTGGTTTCAACGTGAGTGAGGGAAGCTTGGGAAGAGGAAGAGAACTGTGGTGGTGGAGCTAGAGATGGCTGGATCTTCTTCACATCCTCATCACTGTCATCATCATCATCATCATCATCTATCTTGCACTCCACCAGGTACTCATCGGACATCATGGTGACTGAAGTGCATCAGAACACGTTCCGTAAAATTCAAAGTAATTATGACAATTCAGTCATATAATTTTAATATTTAAAAAGTATTGTTTAAATGGAGAAGCATTAGAGAAAGATTTAGTTTAGTTCTAGTTTAACTAGTTTCCCATTCAGTTGGTCCATTGATTCATATCAGTGAGGCTAACAAGACAAACTCTGACAATTACACTGTTAACTACAATGTAAGACAGTCGTCACCACTCCTGGTCCTAGAGATCTACCTCTCTGCAGAGTCTAGTTCCGACCACAATCTGTTCCAGCTAATTCAGTTCCTCAAACGGCTGCAAAAAAGGCAGCATTTTAGATGCAGGTTGGAACTAAACTCTGCAGGAAAGCGGATCTCCAGGAGTAACATTGGTGACCACTGATGTAGAACATTTCCAGGGGAATGTAGTGATCCAGTTTGGATTGGAGTCAAAGTTTCTCTTCATGAACTAACCATAGAAACAATATTCCAGCAAAAGATCAGTGAGCAAACCTAGCAATGGCAATGATATTTATGAACTTAGTAACAATGCACAGTAACATTTTCCACACTCAGCATGCTTGTTAGACAGTCTGGGTATATTTAGCATCAGTGAATAGTTTCTCACTTACCCTCCTCAGATTCAGTCCTGCTTCAGAAACAGGCGTTATGTTATGAGCCTTGAGTGACAGGTTATTGTTATCACTGTGGTGATCGGCTTAACCGACTTTGCAGTCAGTCCTGCACAGTTGCTAGTTTGTAGTGCAGTCTAAACCTGATGAAGACATGCGGGGTCCCTTAGTTATGACCTCACTCTTTCTGACCGCTCATCTGCAGCGTACACCAGAAGTGTTGGTCAGGACTGGTGTGTGTGTGTGTGTGTGTGCGTGTGTGTGTGTGTGTGTGTGTGTGTGTGTGCGTGTACCCTTTGAAGAATTAGTAGGGCGAGCACCGGGTTATTTTCGGGAGAGGAATGGCATGGGCCTGCAGAACAGGGAAGATCAGGTTACTACACGATAGACTGTTTCAACTTTTTTTACACACACACACACACACACACACACACACACACACACACGCACACACACACACACACACACACATTTAAATCAAGACACATTGTAAATAAATAAGAAAGTGGGCCAATAATACAAGCTTTGGGTTTTAGGCTAAGGCATAAAAAGCATCAGGTCTAATGACAAACAGCATAAATTATATATATAATATTATAAAGTAGGGCCCATCTGATATATTGGCTGGTCGGTAATATCAGCTGATGTTGAGGTCTTGTGGATTTATTGGTATCAGTGAAAACTCAAAGCACCAGTCATTAGTGGCTTCTTTTACCAAATATAAACGTGTTTTCATACATACACTACAGTAAAGAAGTTTGGATAATATAAGTGAAATAAAGCTAATCTGACTGCAGATAAGCGTCTAAAATGGTTCTGATATGTTAGTCCTGTGCAACATCACAGGTTTCCAATATGTAGCAGGACATTAGAAGGCTGTAAATAACAACAAAGAAATGTGTCCAGAGTGACGAAGGGAGCTGTAAACGATTTCAAAATGGCTGAGAAATTAAATTATAATTAAGTTATCGGAAAACATATATTGAATGCAAATTTAATATAAGATGATAATTGCAGTACATTATTTGTTATTACTTGTTCTTGTTCATAGAATTCTTAAAATATTGAATAAAACATTGAAAAAAGCTTTTATTGAATAGTTTGTGATATTTAAATCCACATTGCATGGTATATAAAATAACATGGCAAGTGATTCCAAATTTGAATAATGGCATGTCTGTCAGTCTTCATATAGAATACTAAGCGTACAGTTGACCTTCTTACCTTTATTACAGTAATACAGGCTGAACTGGTCAGTCTGAACACAAAACACCATCACGGTCAAAACGTCAAAAAAGCAAAAACATATAAAATGCATCTAACACCTTTCCTTGACAATAAAATGTTGGAACACAAAAATATGAACAGATAACATGAAAAATAGAAATGAAAGCATTAATTAACAAAAACAACCAAAACAGCTAAGAATTCTAGGAAGCTCCACAAACCAAACTACAATATTTATATAAATAAAGAGAATGAACTATGCAAGTTTCTGCTGTTTTTTGTGTTTAGGGAATATGAATTTCATTAATGACCGCGGACCATTTAAAAATATCGCTGTTGTCGGAACAAAACCTCGTATATCCGAAATGGTAACTTTACAGGAGAAGGAAAAAACCTACTTGACTTTTAATGTAAGTCAATGGAACCAGACTTTTTTCTGAGTTATTTTGGAACGTTTCTTTTGGTCCATTCATCATGAAACTCACACATAATATAAAAAGCAACAGGTATTTTCAAATTATGTCAAAAACTGACAACTAACAAAAATGGAGATACAAGGTTTTGTCCACGGCAGTGATATATCAGTTGATTAGGTCTGACCTCAACAGCATTTTACAGGCTTCAAATACTTGAATACGGAATACAGTATTTCTGAACAGGTCCTTGAATATTCCTGAACAAAATTTGCATTTCATAATTGGCCAAACTTTTAAATCAGTCCATTATTGCATTTCAAAATACATTCAATAGGTGAACTATGGTGTATTAATAGTCAGACTGAAGCCCTGCTGTTCTTTTTATAGAAGGGTGGGACTTTCCTCATAAACAGACGCTATGTTGAGCATTATGAGCTTTCCTGTTTATATTTCAACCAGTGACCAGTATCGTCTTTTATAACATCTCTTGTTGGAATCAGAGGTTGCAGGACGCTGGTTCAAACACAGCTTTAGTGAGTCACTTGTATCACTTATTATGAATTATTGACGTTAAGATGTTAAGGGTGTAATGCATTAGAATCGGTTTTATTCATCACCATTATGGCTTCAGTTTGTTGCTTTTATTTATTATTTATTAGCACCAACCCTACCAGAGCCTAGTATTACTCAGATGAGAGTCACTGTGCTTATGTATTTCTTATAGGTGCTTACAGGTTCACCAAACTTATTGTGCTTCTATAGAATAACAGCCTCTTATTGCACAATTTGCACTTATATTTGTCTCATTATCACATAATTTAAAGTGCTCCTGCACAAGATTTCCTTCTGATTTTCTCTGCTCTTGAAGCATCAATGGCCTTATGGAAAGCAGTGCAGTTTGCTGTACTCTGAGGAGAGACAGCATGGACACTTGGCATTCCTTTATGATGCATTCAACTGAACCAGATAGAACTTATTCGTTTTTAACATTTTCAAAAATAGCTGTGTTTTGAAGGCCTTTGCTGATGAAATGATGTAGTTTAAAGTGTATATTTTATGGCATGGACAAACAAAGACAAAGCTTCCAAATACTAAACAGAGAATAGAATACCAACATAACAAATAAACAGTCAATATTTTTGGTTATTGGTATTGGTAGATCCTTAAATTCGATCTGTCACAAAATTGGATGTCACTTTTTTGAATAGCCCTCAATAGATGTTCAATTGATTGTCAACAGTATTAAGGTTAGGGTTAGTATTAGTACCAGGGTTGGGCTTAGGACCAGGATTGGTTTTAGGTTTTGAGTTGAGGTTAGGGTTAGGGGGTCAAGATTTAGGGTTGGCGAATTAGTAGAATGTAAATTAGATGCACGATAAGCATCTGCAAAGCATTTACGGGGGCTGTACAAATAAAGTATTACCCAAAACTGTTAAGCCAGTTGGGCCTTATTATAATGATGCAAAATATTTGGCTCCACTTACTAGAACAGTGAAACAAGGACACAGTGTCACTGATGCAAAGCGCCACTCTGAATACTAACAGCACCCCCTTGTGGAGAGCTTGCACAACATGAGTGAGTGAGTTACAAGCCAGGTCCATGTGGTGCTTTGCATTTAAAAATTCTTGAACAAACTTGAAATGAATGCTTAATCAAATAAAACCCCAAACAGCATTTCAGAATGGACATAATTCATTATTTATTGTGATAATACTGGAATTCATATGACAACAATTCTGCTGACATCATGAAACTGAGAAGCACGTTTTTAGGAGGATGCGTCAGTGAGTAGCAGAGGAGGGGGAGCAGTGAGGTGTGTGTGCATTAGGGCTTAACAGGAAGGAAATAAGAGTGCCACTATACTTCCTGTAACTGCACCTATTCATTCACAGTTTGGTCAGTTCTAGCAGTCTGTTCCTCTCTCTCTCTTTCTCTTTCTCTCTCTCTCTCTCTGTATGGCTACTCCTGAGCTGTGGGCGTGTCTGGAGACACTTGTCTTCACAGTTGTCTGTACATGACAGAGAAAATGGACTCATGAGGGAAAAGGTGGCTACTGAGCTGCACTTATTTTGGTCATCGCACCTGTTCCCACACTCAATCTCCTTCCATGTTTATATATGTGCATGTGTCCATATGTGTTCACTTATTTCACTGAGTTACAATGTTCTCTGACTTGAAAATGTCATGTCGCATATTCACATATGAGCCAGGCAAAAGAAACTGACACTAAAGTATGAAGTTACCAACAGAAGGAGGAATCAGCTTCTGGAGCATTCTTGGTGTTTTTTTGTACATATTCCAAGATTTTCACTGGATATCCATTTCTGTACTCATAATACTGGAAACATAAATCCGATAACAAGATTGTTGCTATATTTTATCCGCCTGCTTACAGGAGTAAAGGATTTTTTTCACTTTTTTTAGACATGTCTCTTCCTTTTATCGAGAGAACAAAGAATGAGTTCAGGTCACAAAATATAAGCCTACCTAAAATATAGCAAAAATAAAAGATTAAAAGAATTATTTAAACCAACCTGGAAAATGAACGATAATCATTTCAAAAATAATACTTCAAAAAATTCAAAAATATAGTTGCCTTTTTCTGGTTTACATCCAGATTTAAATTTAAGCGTCATTTTCTTCCTTAAATCTGGCAGAAGCCTGTCAGGATCCTGCATTTACAGCCGTCTTCCTTACTCTCAGTCATAGACAACACTCTTGGTATGCCGTAGAAACACAGCGGTGGCTTTCTGAGACTCGCCGTCCAGCAGAAACCAACTTGTCTCCATGACAACAAGACGGAGCACTACAGTGAAAAAGTTCAGTCACTCCACTGGACATCACTGTAATGAATGAACATTGTAATGGGGAAAAAACTAATTATTGAAAGTGAGCCTGCTTTACCATGTCCTTTTAGTTTATAGCAAATTTATAAGCACAAACAAAACCAGCAACATCACCAGCCACTGGTCACTGCAATAAATGCAATTACCAATCACTGGTTGCGTTACTGGCACTGCATGAACCAAAGACATTTCCCATAAACCAAAGGTTTGGATAACTGAGGTCTTAAGAACATCATCATATTACATGTTTGGAAAAATAGATTCATTTTCTACAATAACATTTCTCATTTCCCTTCTTTTCATTTCTCTGCCTTCATTCTTTCCTTCCTTCATCAGTCCTGCTGGTCAGGAGGTTTGAAGAGGCCTCGGCCACGCAGGCTGAAAGGCGTTCCCTTCTTCACCGACTGGCGGGTAACACCAGTGGAGACTGAGGGAGTGGAGGAGGACGGAGAGGAAGGAGATTGAGAGACTGAACCGTCTTGAGCAGGCTGCCGGGACAGCAGCTCTTTAAAGACTGAATTCATCTGCCGACTGATCTCCTGTAGGGAGCGAAGATGAAGAGAGAGAGAGAAAGATTACATTATGTACACCACATGCCTCACTTCTAAAATAAAAGCATTCTTTTAATGAAAGAATAAATAGA